GACCAGTAACCAGCTCGATGCATGAAGTACAACCTCGAGGAGGCGGGCGAAGTCAAGTAACCTTTGCCTTCTCAACTCTTAAGAGAATGGGCGAAATCGAGTACCCCAGTTCTCTTATCTATCTAGCAGAGGAGCTCTGCACAAGATCAAAGACCCTTCGAAGATAATGGAAGACAATAGTTGTCAAATCCTCACCAACGGTGATCAGTGCTACTGAGAGTAGATTGTCCGCCTCATTTCCCAACGAAATGCCAATCGAAAGCGGAAGTGATGCGAACCTACTTAGATGTGACAACTAACTGAAAGAAGAGTCAATGAGCATATTTTGTGGAGGAAGGACCCAAAACTTCAGAAGTTTGCGAGGCGATGCTCGTTAAAGCTCCAACAAGCATCCACCCAGTTCAAGCAGCATGTGGAAGTTTTGAGAGACTGGCGCAGTAAGGATGGTCTTTTTCCTTCATTTGGGGGATCCGTAAGAATCAACAATGATCAACACAACTCAGCCAACCCCACACCAGAGTCAAGAGTCATTGGTGAGTTGAAGCAGCATGGCGGATCAAAGGTTCGACTACTCAGAAACAGCAGCGGAGAGCAGCTGGGAGCCAGGAGGCGCATTGCAGCTAGAGCAGAAGATTGAAGACTCAGCAAAGGTGAAGAGTTACAGTGTTCACAAAGGCTTCGACGAGGACGTCGAAGGGATAAGTGGGGGAGAATGTCACGGACAAACTTCTAAACAAGGTGTTTGATGTAATGCTTATGTATGTCCGTGTCGTTTGGCATGTTCATGCCTTGTACAGAATGTAAAGGGGCAGCCGAAGGCTTATAAGTCCCATTTTAGTTGGGTTGGTGGCCTCTTTAGGCTTGTAAATAAAGGTTGTGTCATGTGGACACGTGCGAGAGCTTTTCGGTCTGTAATGGACCATTTTACCCTTTGTTGTGCCACTGTTCAGAGCTTGTAAAGTCTGTTTGTAATTTGCTTTGTCTATGAAGTGTTTTTCGGACATGTTTGCTTGTGGATCCCGTTTGAGGCGTTCTCTTTAACCCGTTCTCTCTTTTGTTGGTCCTAAGGGACAATGGGAGGCTTCGGGGAGGCTGACCTTTGCGGACGGACGCGCAAGGGTGCCGCACGACTTAGGCAAAACCAGCTAAGTCCGTGTCAGTATGCCACAGTGGCACATCGAGCGTGTCATCAATAATAACTTAGGTCATCTTTCTTTTACCCTTTTCACTTAAATATTAATTACATTCTCTTATGCTCACCAATACCCGGAGCAGCAAATTAGTTTCTCAAGAAATTCATGTTCTCTATCTTGGAACTTCTGCTGGTGGTGTCCCTTTACATCATGGTTAACATAATTAAGAGATCTTCCGACACTGAGACTCCTTTGACCCTCGTAGCTTCATTCCAAGATTACATCAGTTTTGAAGATGTCATTGAGGGGTCTGTACAATGGATAATAGGTGAGGCCATAAGCAGGTAGATATGTGACTGGGCATGTTTTAAGTGATATAATCTATTTATTTTAATCTGAGTAGTAAAATTGAAATAAAAATGCACATATACACTTATCTAATTGCCTATATAATTTTACAATAATGATATTTAATTAGACAAGAGGTGCACAAACTACCGGCTTAGAGGCTGAATAAGATGAACTAGAAAGTTTCAAGGCATACATAGTTGTAGAGCTTACTTTATGCACACAACATAAATTTTTTTTTTTTGTGTGTGTGTATATATATATATACAAAGAGAGAGAGAGAGAGAGAGAGAGAGAGAGAGAGAGAGAGAGAGAGAGAGAGAGGGTTATGTGGATATAAAGTTGATAGATGAGTCACAGAATAGCCCCTCAAAAGCACATTTTTGTGGGCTTAATGTTGCTGTTATGTATTTTCATCTTTATTATGGCCCTTTATTCCATGTTCATGATGGACCTGTGATGTTGTCTTTGGCTAGTGGGATATTAGGTGTTTCCCTCCCGGAGGCATGGAAGAGACTTGAGTCGTGCTTTGGTCGATGACTTGTACTGGGTTTGACCTCTGCAGAGTAGCTCTCATTGCTGAACTCACTACTTCATAAGAGGCAGGAATGGGGTAAAAACCATGCCATCTCAATGCAAATCCTGTTTTTCTTCCCTCCTGATTTTTCTTCGGCCGTTGCTTGCTCCAGTTGGTCCTCACTCCATGTACAATTTGACCATAATTTCCCTGAACCATCAACTAGTTTCTCATGCTTCTGCCTTTATTTTTTCTCATGTAGGTTCAGTCTAGTAAAACCGTGATGGTTCCTTCTGTCATTCTCTTCCCCCACCAGGAAGCTATGTATATGGTGCATATTTAAGTTTTAATGGTGAATGCTGTGTATAACAAGTAAGAAGATGCAGGGGGGAAAAGCTCCAATATCATTTAATGATTTCTGTAACCTAATAAAACATCAATGTTTGCTGAGATGTTCACAGTTTATATGTATTGTTTTTAGATTCGAATTCACCGTTATCTGCTCCATAATTTGTCGACCCTGAAATCACGTAACATATGTTCAGTCATTCACGCAAGAAACCAAGAAATCACGGGCATGCGTGTCTGCATGAACAAACATGCATGTAAAACGCCGTTGCACGAAGCAACGTGTTCAAGACCTCAATGTCCATCTATAAAATAGGGAATTTTCCACTGCTGATGTATCTGATTGTGGTATTTTTTTTCCCAAAAAAATAAAATTAAATTTCTGTAAGAAGTACTGTTACAACCACGACCAGACTCATCAGACTGCAACGATGCATACAGATCAAGTGATCAATTGTCTGTTCACGTTTGATCTGATCTAAATGATTTTGGATGGATGATCAATCTGTTTATTCTTGATCCCCCTCCCAGGATATCTTGATACGAAAGATTGATCGTCGCCGTTCATTTGAGGTGACGGTGGACCGCGACCGACAATAACATCGTGTACACGATCTGCGCCGTTCGTTATTCATAGCTATGATGGGAGGCGTGGTTTTTTCGTCAATAAATAAAAAGAGCTCTTGATCTCAATTTCTCGCGTCGATCGACACTGGTAAAATCCCCATCGGCTCGTGCCGGCGCTCGACTCTTTGTTCGTCTGGATTCCGGCGAGAAGCGATGATCTCTCAGTTCTTCGTGCTGTCGCAGCGAGGCGACAACATCGTCTTCCGCGACTGTAATCTCTCATTGTTATTCTCCTCTTCTGTTTCTTGATTCACCCGCGATTTCAACGCTGACCCGCCTTTTTCGTTCGATCGAAACCCTAAATTGAGCTCGTCGCCACGGCATTGAGACCCGTGGACGGCCGTGTCGTCTGATTGAAATCCTGATTCGATGTCTCGGTTATTCGCGCTGTCGTAGCCAGGCGACAACACCAATTTCATTTCTTGATTCACTCGCGATTTCAACGCTGACCCAGCCGTTTCGTTCGATCGACACCACGCCCTATATTTAGTTCCACACTAGAGCATTGAGATCTGTGGATGGCTGTGTCGTACGATTGAAACCTTAATTTTGGTTCGTTGCCAGGGGATTGAGATCTGGAGATCCTGCAGATCTAGGGCTTGCGGTCCATAATTCCTTGGACCTAGGCTCGGCCGGATCCGTCTCCCCGGTGCATATTTGCACTATTTTTCTTATGGAATTATCTGGAGCCATGGTGTTGAGATTATGGTTCTTAATGTTTACACCAAATCTCCATTTTGGTCATATGCTCGTGTCCTTTTAATCTTCCTAGTTATAAGAATTTCGTGAATAGTTCATTATATTTCTAAACGTATCTGTTTTATTGAATACCCTACTCGTAATCCTTTCTGGCTCTGACTGTTCATTTAAAGCCTGAGTTATATTAAGGAAACCGTGGTGTCTACTTGATGGAATAGTGAAATCACCACAGGAGTTCGTATTTTTGGACTTACACGTATATTTTCTTCGTTCATCTACTTGAATTTGCTCCTAATTGACAAACTGCTTTACTGGTAGTTAAAATTAAGATTAACCTTGTAAGTGGGAGGTTTGGGGATAACCAATTGAAGTAGGCGAAACGTGGAAGTTTGTGTATTTTGTGCAGCCAAAATTGTTCAGTTTGAAACAATGTGGTTATTCAGTACCAACTCGGTTATATGGGTTGCAGCCTAAAGATAGATTCCATTAGTATTAAAAAGGTTATGTAAACCTGGTTTTTGGTCATTTGTTTCCAAATATTGTTTGATGTTTATAGTTATAAAGCAGAAGGTACTGATAAAGGAGCTTGACATAATTTATTTATATTGTCTAGAACTCTAGATAACTATAGATTTGTAGATCACATTCAAGCTTCATTAGATTCCTGATACTTCAATTTGCTTTGTTCGTCTTGCTTTGTTTACTTAAGATTTTCTAGGTTGATTTTTATTCTTATGAAAATATGCTGTTAGACATGTTAGGTAGGTACATCTTCAAATTAGTACCATATGGTCATATACTCAGCTCCTTTTAGAGATGAGCTTTACAAGTGTATCATTTCAGTTATAACTTATAAGAGAATCTGTAATCTGCCAAAAGTAGAAGAACGTTGAAATTCAGATCAATGATGCCATTAGAATCGGTCATCCAGGGTGCTTCTATTAGTTCAATTTTGAGGGCTCTGAGCTCATACCATGGGAATATGCTATTTCCCCATAAATATTAAGATAGCTAAACTACTCTTACCAATTGTTAGTTGAATCAGTTGATAGTACAGCCTTTTATACTAAGTGCCCTGACAATTATTTTTCCAGTTCCTCTTTATGTTTGTAATGCTTAATAAGATTAAGCTTTTTTTTACTGAGCTTTGAATAGTGGATTTATGTTCAAGTTTCTAGTGGGTAGGCTGTCTCATTCGTTTCCAGTTAAAAATATTGAGTTTATTTTTCCCTGATTAATTGGTCTAGATCGTGGTGAAGTGCCAAAAGGAAGTGCTGAAATATTCTTCCGCAAAGTAAAGTTCTGGAAAGAGGATGAAGAAGAGGAGGCGCCTCCTGTCTTTGTAGGTATTTGCATATGCAAAGCTAGTGTAGCATCATTTGTCTTTCTAAATATCGCGAAGACATAAATTAGCATTCAGGATCAATCCAATTCTTGTATCAACATACTTAAAACTATCTTGAGGATCTCCACATGTATAGATATCTTAAGTCTGTTCTTTAAAATGTATTTTTTTAGTTAGCTATTAGTGGGAACCTTATCTAATTCTGTAGCAGCCTTTTTCTCTCCTCTCAAGTCTTAGATGATGAAAATCAGTTGCTGTTACATCCATGCCCATTATCTTGTTCAAACAACTAAACAAAATTGTGCATTATATCTCTGATATGAACTTTTAAATTTTTGGTGTAATTGCTGTTGTCATTTTCAAGATTCTTTTAACTTTGCTTTTCATGCTATTGAAATAGATGTGGCTTTTATTAGTACTGTTGAAAATCAAATAGTTGGCTGGATCCTGATAGTTGGTACAGATACGATCAATGATACCATGATTTGTTCCACTTGAATTGTAGTAACAAGGATAATTTTTTTTCTGAATAGTTTAAAGAGGCAAGTGGCCTCATCGTCTTAAGGCTAATAGTAGGTAGAAAATTCTTTTGGACCTGCTCCTTTACATTCTTTGAGAACTATGATGGATTGAACCAACTATTCTATTGAAAATATAGAGATTATCATAGATAGACATGTATCTCTTCCAAGGAAGATGCTCCCAAGTTTCAACCACTTGTTGCTCTATTGACCAAAATTGCTTGCATGCTATCATTATAAATATTTGCAAAGGCATATGCATAAACTATTAAAACAAGAAAAGAAGGAAAATTTTAGTCTGAACTCTGAAGCATGCATAAGAAAATGGTAAAATGCTGATCTGTGGTCCATACTGCATACCACGGAAAATGGTAAATTGGTAAAATGCTGATCTGTCCTGTTAATGAGGCAATTGGGATATAACACATCTTGGATGATAAATTTTTTGATGGTCAAATTTAACAGAGATGGAAGGTTTATCATAGACTGGTTTCTCATAGACTAATAATGACACATGCCGATCACATATAGAAGAGACTGGTCATAGTACTTATATAGTGATTATATTCTCCTAATATATAACTGGACTCATCTGAAGCACTGAAGCACATCTTGACATGGTCGTTGTTCCAGCTATAGCATTGTCTTTGAAAGATCTTATTGTTGGAGTTAGTAAGTTATGAACATTAGTGCTTTGTGAGTATGCCAATGTCAGTGACATTAGCTGCTCAAGCTCTGAGTTTGTTGCTGACAAGGTGGAGTGTCTAGCTAAATTGTTGTTGCACAAGAGGAGGTTTATTTATCTATCTACATGAAAGATTTTGGAAAAGTACCATACAGTTATATCTTCTGGTTGGGGATTAAATGGTATAGTGCTTCTTTTTGTCTTTTCCTTTTAGGCCAAATGATTAATCTCCTTTACTTAAGTCACAAAAATTAAACATTTGACCCCTTAGAAAAGAATATTAGATGAAGCTTATACTGTTTTACTGGGCTACTGTTAGGCCATTTTCTTCAACTTGATTTGCTGTCAAGCAATCACTGTTGTCTTTGATGGTGCAATCAAAATCAAATTTTTATTCCATTAGACAATATCTTTGATAGATTTTGCTAAATCTATTTTCTGGTATCATATGAGAAATTTGTGTTGATGCATCTACCAGTCACTAAGCCTTCTTGTTTCTTTTGTTTTTTTTTTCTGACCACAGAATGTGGATGGTGTCAACTACATTCATGTGAAGGTTGCTGGGTTGTTCTTTGTGGCAACGACAAGGGTTAATATTTCACCATCTCTTGTTCTGGAGCTCTTGCAGAGAATTGCACGTGTCATAAAAGATTATCTTGGTGTTCTTAATGAAGACTCGTTACGAAAAAATTTCGTGCTTGTTTATGAATTACTTGATGAAGTTATTGTAAGTGTTTGTTTACTATGTTACAAATAGTCAAATGTTTCTTTATTTACTTCATGATTTATCAGGGCACAATTTACTGCTATGGTACAACTATTCTTTATCATGTTATGGTTATATATCTTGTCCGTGTTAATTGGACTGAAGCTTTTTACAGTTGATGATATCTGTTCCATTTGTAATCCTATTTTTAGGACTTTGGTTATCCACAAACAACCTCTACAGAGGTTTTGAAGTCATATATATTCAATGAACCGATTGAGGTTGATGTTGCACGTTTGCCTCCTCTTGGTCCTGCATCGATGTTTATGGTACCATTTATTTATCTTTACATTATTCACTGCATCTGGAGAATCTCTTGTATTCCTGGATTCTGTTCTGTTTTTAGAATACATTTCTTCGTCTACTTGGTTTGTGTTTCAGACTTTTAGTTAACTGTTAGTATTTGCATGCTTGCAGCAAGGCACTAAAAGGATGCCTGGTACAGCTGTTACCAAATCTGTTGTATCTACAGAACCTGGTGGTAGGAAGAGGGAGGAAATATTTGTTGACATTATTGAAAAAATAAGTGTGACATTCAGCTCTAGTGTGAGTAAATTTGTCTTTTGTCCAGTAACATTTAGTGGCTGCTGTCAGAACTTATTTGTGTTTAGTAGATTATCACTCATGCCCATGTAGACCTGTTCATGTGACAAAATATATACATTGTACAGTGTGTTTTTACTTATCCATATTAAATAAATTGAAGCCAGATTTTGATGGTTAAATTAGATAAGTTCTATCAAATTCATGTTTTGCTGCAGTACCATAAGAAACTTCTCGTTTAGTTGTATTCTGCTGATTTGCCTGACATAGATGGTTATCTTCCTTGTCTGCTTATGGTTTTATAGCAAGCTAAATCGAGCATTATTATCAAAGTTTGTGCAGTTACGAATTCACATAACTGTCATCCAAATTCAGTTTATAATCCCTTTTAATGTGAAAGCTCTGTCCTAATGGTGATGATTTGATTTTGTCCTAATGTTATACCATTTTGACAATAGATATTGTAATGGAACAGGGTTATATACTCACATCAGAGATCGATGGCACCATTCAGATGAAAAGCTACCTAACTGGAAATCCAGAAATTCGTCTCGCGCTCAATGAGGACTTGAGCATTGGTAGAGGCAGTGCTTCTGTTTATGGTAAGAACAAATATAGTGTATTCTAATTGTATCACCTCTCCTAGTTGCTGATTATGTTGTTGCTTTGTATTTATCTGAATTTTATGTTTCTATTACTGTTTCGTATTACCTTTATTATTGTGCAAGTGCAGTCTACATCCAAATAGATATCTGTCTCTAGATTTTGATCTTCTGTAAGTTAATTTTAGAGTCTTTTGCATTATGACTACTAGACACCTCCATGTCTGTTAAGATTTATGGAAAACAGGCTATTTTGGTCATCATACTTGTTAACTAAAGCCATTGGCTATAGCTTACGAGCTATTTCTGATGATTGGCTCAGATTTCTGTTAAATGTGATACACAAACTGTATTGGAACAAAATGATTTCATGAGCCCTACATCGATCTTGATGTGCTACTCCATAAGTTTTCATTGGGTTTTCTTATTTCTTTAATTGGCATGTCTATCTGAGATATTCCCATTCAGTAGGACGTCGGTCACCTCTCCAAAAACAGAAGTGGTCTGTCTACCAAAGTTAGCAAGATTGTGCACAAAAGTTTTGCTGTTTATATTGATGTGAGGCCATTGTAGGACTTGGACAGCTTTGACTAGATGAAGGGTGTCATGGCAAAGGGGCAGAAGTTGCCAAGGAATGCTTTTGCGATTCAAAAGCATGTTGACTAAGCTTTTGGAGTCAGCGAAGACTCTAATACAGGTAGGTTGTTCTTGGTGTGCTGTCTTGAGGCCATCCAAAATAGTTACAGACCACCATTCTGTTGTCCCATGTGTCTGTGAGAAGGTTGCCGGTCCCTGCAAGAGAAGTAGCAGGGCCAAAGGAGTCACCACAGTAAAGATTATAATGATCATCTGAGACGGAATTCTCAGGGCGGTCAGTGCATTGTCGCATAGTTACATATGTGGAATTAAAGACATAATTTCAATTTTCAAGGATAAATCATGTGGTGCTGAAACCCTGAATTTGAAAAAAAGTGAAAAAGTGGGGAGAACTATTGATGAAATAGTGCATAAATAGTTCTAAGTAATTTATATGCTTTTGTTGTTACTTAAAAGTAAGAGTTGGGGAGAATTAATGGACAAATTGTTGGGAAACAAAGTATCACTAAGACAGGCAAAAATGCATAACGAGCTTTGCATCCGTACTGCAGATTGCAGAATTTATTCGACTTATTCATAAATGATAGATTTTTGTACTTTATGAATTTATTCTTATATTAATCTTGTTCTATTTGGTTTTAGAAAAATTATCTAGAGAATTATTTGGCTCACTTACATGGGAAGAACTGTGTATCTTTTATAGTTCAGTAAACTTTGTTACTGTAGTTTAAAGTCATGTATTGTGAACTTGTAATATGTAAGTTCTACAAGATTGATTATGTTTCAGATTATAGAAGTTCATCAGGAGGGGCTGTAATACTCGATGATTGTAACTTCCATGAATCAGTTCGCCTAGACAGCTTTGATGTCGACAGAACTTTGACATTGGTGCGTGTATTGCTTTGTGTATACATATTCAAATGCTAATAAAAACCTATACTTGTCAATTAGAACATATATTGCAAAAGCAATATCATGGTACTTATTGTTCTTTTTGATGATAGATACCTCCAGATGGAGAATTTGCTGTAATGAACTACCGCATGACTCAGGAGTTCAAGCCTCCTTTCCGTGTCAATGCATTGATTGAAGAAGCAGGACAACTAAAGGTATGGTCATGCTTATCAGGATCTTTTAACTATAACATGATGCTTCCTTAATCCTTAGAGATGTTGTCTCTGAATTCTGTTTACGATCAGCAATATCAGACAATATATATTCTTATGCTTAACAGGCTGAGGTTATTATAAAAGTACGTGCTGATTTCTCGGCAAGTGTTACTGCTAACACAATCACAATTCAAATGCCAGTGCCAACTCATACAGCAAGGTGGTTTTGTTCCTTGACTTTACATCTCTTGTTCACTTCTCACTGTTATGTTTCCTACAGTCAACTCACTGGTAACCGTTTGTAGGAATCTATAACTTCATCCATTTGAACTATGTAATTTCATTATTGCTATCATTTGTATTGACAATTAATCATTGCTAATCTAGGATATCCGCTTCTTCATTCACGGTTATCATATGTGAACTATTCTGGATTTTTTGGATTCTTCTGCTGATGCTCTCCACCTTTGTGATTACCGTTGCAATTTTTTTCCAGGGTCACATGTGCTCACTCATGCATTAATCATGGTTTTAAATAGGTAATTAGATATTTTAAAAACATGTAAAGGCTGTGATTGTTATGAATGTATCTAACTGACTAAAAGCCATGTCCGCCAATTTATACCTGCAGTTAAAAACTCTCCCTTCTGAATTGACCAGTAAAAAAATGGTGTATTTCATTTTTTTTCCACTGTACAAGCATCTTCCAGTTGTGAAGAATTCTCTTAGTTGAATTTGTCCTTCAGAAGATCTATCACCACTTTAATAGGATAATTTTCTCAAGGTATGCTGTATTTAGTGTTGTTTGTCTTTTTTATCAATTCGTTATCAGGAATCTTCATCCTTTTAGTTTCTTATGGTTTGTTTCCTACCAATCATGTGTTCATGCGTTTGGCCCTGGACCTTATTATTCTCTTAAAGCACTTCTTGCTAATTAAATTGAGTAATAACATAAATGAGTTCTACTGAGGGTTCTGTTTAGGTGAGATATTTGAAAGATATGTGAACATTTAAATTCACTGAACGATCTATGCTATACTGTTGGGTGATTGATCAGATTCATTGGATCTGTAACCACATTCCCTTCTACCGTCTATTGCATGTGCTTCACTTGTCTTGCTTGATGATGTTCTTTTGAAGTTATTCCTTCAGTTACTGGTGACCTCTACAAGTATTTTCTTATTGTTTCAGTGTATCTTGTGTATTCTACTTTAAGAGACAGTCCTCGTCTTTCTTTGACTTTTCGTGTTTCCACTACTAGATTAAGATGGCCTATATGCATAATGTTTTTTTAATATTATTTGTTGATACTTCTACAAGGTTGGTAAGTAGTTCATAAATGCAATATCGTTATTTCTAAAAGACTTATTCCGTTAAGTTTCTAGAACCTTTCTTTTTGTTGCATAAAGCATGGAAAGCTGATCATATCTTATATACTAACGAATGTGTGTCACAATTCTAATTATGAAACCAATCACATATGAAGCATGACCTTGGTGAAGTCTTCTTTTATTGATTTTTTTTCTAAATGGTATCATAATTTACTGTGTGATACAATTGTGGTTCTGAATATATATTTTCGGTAATTAATGGCCAAAAGTAGTGATGACTGGTAACTGTTGCTGATAAAGATATTGGACAATGATGTACAGGGTTAGTTTTGAGTTAGAATCTGGTGCAGTCGGACAGACGGCTGATTTTAAGGAAGGAGCTAAAAGACTTGAATGGTGTCTAAAGAAGGCAGGATTTTCATCTATTTCTTTTTCCTTTTATTTTTTTTTTCTTTCTTTGTTCAAATTTTTAACATATTATTATCAATATCTGGGTCTTCATGGAAAAATGGTATGTGTTTTTAGACTATTCATGTTCCAAGTATTAACTAGTCATATCTTCCACTAAACCTTGGCCATAAGATAAATATTTATATATTGTATTATAGCTCTTTGAGTTGTCTGTTCACATTTGGTCTTACAAATGAAAGTTCTTCAGATTGTGGGTGGGTCTGAACACACACTGCGTGCAAAGCTCACATTTTCACAGGAATCACATGGTAGTAACATTTCTGCTTATTTCTTCATTGATAAAAATTTCTATCCTGTTTGTTAAAAGTTCTTGTTTTCCAGGAAACATCGCCAGAGAAGCTGGACCTGTAAACATGAACTTTACCATACCAATGTACAATGCATCAAAGTTTCAGGTGAGGCGATAACTTTTTTTACTTGTTAGCATGCCCTTTTCATCCACCAGGTTAGGTTACTTGAATTAGCTGAGAAAGAGACATAAATTCCGATACTTCTTAGCTGTCAAGTATCTCATTGATGGTTAATGGATGCTTAAAATGGGGGCAAATAATTGTCATTAGATATGCAAGAACCGAGTAATGCTCTTTTTTATTAATCTTAAATGATTTTTTTGCTGGTTATTGTGGGTAATTTGGCTATTTAGTCTTTCTGGTAGTTCTCAGTTTGGTTTACTAGCATATTATAATCTTAAGATGGTGATAATGTTGAAGCATATTAATTGTGTATATATGAACATGGATCTATGCTGGAAGCTTGGGGCAAACTCTGATGTAATAAATGTTATGTGCACATTTTGGACATTTGTCAGTATATTTGGAAGCAAGTGGACAGTTCAGGTGCTCTGACTTTGTGGCAAAAATTATTATAGTGAAAACTCTATTGTCTAATCCAACCCTGATTCTATCACCATTTTATGTTTGAGGTCGTGGACTTATAATTGCTAAAGATAAAAGGGACCGAAGATATCTATCTGCACAATTTAGATTTAATAGTGGTTTCCCAGTAAGACTTTTTTTTTTTGTCTGTTGCGTCATTGGGTACATGGTCTGCTTGGCCAAGACGGGGAAAAATTTTGTGTTCCAAGAGGAGTGGAAGTGATTGTTATGCCTGTATGGTAAGCGGAAGTAGCATTTTAGAGATTTACTAGAAGCGGGCTATTAAGAATGTAGTGTCAGTTCAATGGACATTACATTGATTATTTATCAGAAAGGCAAAGGAATTGGAGCACTTACAGCATTTCTTAGTGGGTGTAGATTTAGGTTGACTACATAGTTCTTTGTTGTTATGTTTGTGGGTGTAGATTTAGGTTGACTACATAGTTCATTATTTATCAGAAAGGCAAATGAATTGGAGCACTTACAGCATTTTAGAGATTTACTAGAAGCGGGCTATTAACAACAATAAGCGATCAGGGCCCAACTCTTTGGGATCGGCTGCAACTAACATGATTTTGAATAACTGATTAACTTTTAATTCTTGTTTGTGATTTCATTATTTATAAAATGTGAGAATTTCTGTGCTTGTTAATAGTTTGACCCCTTGGCAAAGTGACTAGAAACATCTTTGGCATTGAATTTACTTACATAATAATTAGGTCACACTGTTCATATGACAAGCTTCAACCAAATGTATGCTAGATGTCCATCTTGGCTGTTTTGCTTGTCCTAGGGAATTTGTGAAATTATTTATGGACTCTTTTTTGTTTGACTTTGCTCCATAATGATCCGACTGACAAGAAAAGACTTGGATGGTTTATCTTTCAATTCATTCTAGGATCATTCCTTCTATGCTGATTTTTCTTAATTGCTGTGATTCTGTTCCTTTAATGTGATTCAAACAATCTCATGAGTGCCACTTCTTGATTTTGAGCTAAAAGTTATTAGCAATAAAGTTCTGATCCTTGGGTTTCCCTCCTCGTGTCTTTTTTCTTCTTGAGCAGGTAAGATATCTACAGATAGCAAAGAAGTCACCCTCCTACAACCCATATCGGTGGGTGAGATACGTCACACAATCAAACTCCTATGTTGCTCGCTTATGAGAAAATTCGAAGTTTTTTTCTACTTGTTATTATTAAGGTATTGGAGATGGAGACTTCGATGAGTACTTTTTTTGGAGACGAATAACTAGAGAATAAAGTTTGTGAAAGAACCGAACTATTAGCCCCTCCCCAACTTTTGCAGCATGGTACCTGTTTTTTCTTCTCTTCCAAGTGTTGTTGTATGTCAGGTTAGAGCGGTCAGGTCAGTAAATATGTCATGACTTGCTCTGTTAACGAGCACTCATTAGCAAAACTGACAGTGAATTGTATGTTTTTTTTTTGGTAATCTGAATCCATCCTATTTACTTATTTTAATTGGGTTTGGCTAATCATAATCAAAAGAAGGGAAAATATATATAATTGAGACAAAAAAAATCAAATAAAAAGAAAGAACTAGAAAGTTAAAGGAAATAATTAAAAAAGGTTGGGAACACAGGTAACGGCTGCGTGAGTGTTACTGCACTATCTCTACGAAGCATGAGCACAACAGATAGGAAATATTACTAGGTTTTATTTACGTCGCCAACAAATAGGGAACAAATAAGTTAATGATTTTTTTGGTTTTGAACGGATGCGACAGCGGATTAAGAAGGGTCGCGATGGCAAGCAGAGCGGCACATTGAACGCGATTGGCGAAGGCTGGTGGGTCAACGATGATCTTGACCGCGGGTCCCGTTCCCTAGCCCACCTCTTCCGAGAAACGAGAAATAGAGGAGAGAGAGAGAGAGAGGAATAAGAATCGACGAAGGCCTGTTAGGAACGGGGAGGAGAAAGAAACGTGAAATGGCGAGGAGACGACAGCGAGAGATCCCGCCTTGCTCCAAGACGTACGGCTTCCCCATCTACTGCGCCGCTTGGGTCCCTATCGACCGGATCTCATCCGCCGCCGCCGAGGAAGAGGCCGCCGGGAAGAAGAAGGAAGGAGGAGGCGAGGCTGCAGCCGTGGAGGAGACCGCCGAGAAGAAGGAACAAGGAGGAGGAGGAGGCGAGGTGGCGGTGGCCGAGGAGGAGGCCGCGGAGAAGAAGGAACAGGAAGGAGGCCAGTCGTTCCACACGCTCGATCCCAATTGGCTCCTGGTGGCGCTGGGGGGAGGCGGCGGCGAAGGACGGAGCGGGGTTCCCAATGTCCTCCTGATTGCCGAGTTCGACTTGATCTCGCGATCTCTCTCCGACACGCCGGTAATATTCTTTCTTCCCTCAGTTTCAAGAACCCTATATAACCCATCGATTCCTGAATCCGAACATGTTCTTTTCGAATTTCGTTATAATTTTAGCGTCTGAAGTGGTTATGAGGCGTGGCTTCTTGATTCTTGAAGTTTTCGTTGCCTGGTGTAGGTTTTCAGGTTGGGAACCGATGCCGATGTGCCTTATAGGATGGCGGTGCACCCTGGAGGAGACGGCGTTGTCTGCGCGTTTCCAAAGAGTTGCAGGTGTCAGAAACTCTCGTCCTCATGTCAATTTAGTGTTACAATATCGTTGTCTTGAAACTCTTGTGCTTTTGGTATTATACCTTTTGCGCTAAAAAGATACCATGAACTTGACACAAGCACTTGGTTAAAATGTACAAGTTAATTTGACTCGGCATTCATGCCCTCATATACAGATTTGACATCGAAATCATGAGCAAGATGTATTTTCAGCTCCCAGTTCCCTATATTTTTTACACTTGTTATTCTCTAATTTTTGGAGAAGAATTGGCATCTAGCTGTCACAATTCAACCACTTATTACAAAAGAATACTTGTATCACTTGCAAAGACTTTTGCAATATGTTTATTGTATCTAGCTGTCACAATTTGAGAGCTATCCTATGATGCCGTGCTTTAAAATGGAGAACATGACATTTAGAGAAACATTCAAAGATATGCAGATTCTCCTATTCAGTGTTTTGGGTGTTGTTGCTTTTCTTAGTGATATTTATTTGCTTTTTTACCATGTAGTGTGCCAGAGATTTCTGTTTATGATGAATAAGCATGCTTTGATCTTTCTTGTGATCGTGAACATTTGTTTTTATCTGCCCCTCTAGATGGTTTGACTGGGACGTTCCAGAGAGCAAGAAAACCTATAAACTGGCCTTGAAATCTTCTGCAAAGATATTGACACCATTAGAAGATGTTGGGCTGCAGTTAGCATTGGCCTTTGATGCTGAAGGTTCTATACTTGCAACTGGTGGTGAGGTAGGTAATTTCTTTCTGGTTGTTTCAGTTAGGATAATTTGTTTACCAGTGATGCTCATCATTACCAGTGAACTGCATAAGAAGAGAACATAAAAGGTTGTGATATTGTAGTAGTTATCATTTGGATGTTTCATACTGCAGTATGTTTTTGCTCAATAATTAAGTGTTGACATCTATTTTAGTGGACACTGCTTTCTTATACCATCCGAGCATTCTATATAAGTTGCATGACAGTTGAGATTTCATGTTCCATCAATGAAATATCCCTGAAAAAAGACGATTAAAATTTCATGTAACTTGTTTAAAGTTTTATGGTGTAGCCCCCACAATACATGGGACTACATGGTAAGGAAAAGTAACACTATAGAATTAGAAAAGGAGAGCAAGAAAAGCAGAAGACATGCTGCCACATGCATGAATTTACATGAATGCCTCATCTTTAATTTTGAGCTGCTACATGCAGGATGGGCATTTGAGGGTCTTCAAGTGGCCAAGCATGGAAATTATTCTGGATCAAACTGATGCTCATACAACCGTGAAGGATCTGGATTTTAGGTGGATGGATGCCTATGCATACTAAATTTACAAAGTTATTGGATTTTTTTTTTTTGTTTTGTTATCATGTATCATTTCTGAGCCTATGAAATGCTTTGCAGCTCAAATGGTAAGTTTCTCGTGTCATTGGGCAACAGTGGCCCATGCAGAGTTTGGGATTTGACATCATCAACAGCTATAGCCAGTCTGCCAAGGGAAATTGTAAGCTTCTTAAGTGATTCTTATATGTGGCTGTGTTTGAAATTTTTGCTGAACATACTAATCTGAACTGTATCTGCTTCCAGGGTGAAATTTTTGGCTTCTGCAGATTCTCTCAGACCAGGGCTGATAATCCAGTTTTATATGTTACTGCAATGCACGGTGTCGTTGTTGGATAAGGCTATTTCTTCTTGGAAGTTTTTCACTATAGTCACAATTTTTGTAGGATATAACACCAAACAACATACGTACAGGTAACCAAGCAAAGCTAGTGTCTTGGGATTCCCTTTCATGGAAGAGGGTTGGAGAAAGAAAGATAGGTCGTGATCCAATTTCCGCATTCAACGTATCCATGGATGGTAAACATCTTGCTGCGTAAGTGACTCAACTTATACGTCCATCACTGGTATAGTTCTGTTAGTAATATTTTCCTATGCTTTGCTATTTCATTTGCATGATTTATTCTATTAGTCGTATTCTACTTCTGAGAGTCTAAAGTTGGCTTGTGAATGATATGATATTTGCTACAAGGTTGATAGTAACAGAAGTATACAACTTAGAGTAATTTGAATTTGGAAATATGAGCTGTAGCTTTTTGTGGGTTCCCCTGGGGTAACGTCCTGTCATACCCCTTTATTTATTGTTTTGACTTGTGGCTTTTTTTATGCATCTGAAGTTCTAAGCCGAACTTCAGAAATAATTACCACCATCTAACTATCTTTTCTCGAGTCAGAAATAATTTAGGTGACCATTTTCTGTTCTTTTAATGATGCAAACATGCTCTAATTTGAGCCCCTTAAGATTTTTTACTTTCATCTGGATTTCGGAGAACAGAATGATTCTTCTGTCTTAAAGAGGTATTAAAGCATTTCATCATTCTTTGTGTCTGCCTTGACTTTGTCAAGAGTCCATAATTGTATCATCATCTTGGAAATAAGCCATCCCAATATGTGGCTCAATCAGTAGTGACTGAATACACCCAACATTCATTATTTTGTGTAAAAATAGGAAAATATATGGTGGAAAATTCTTTGCTTCCGTAGTTTATTTTCTTGAAAAGAATAGCCTTTTCTTCACTGTTTGCAGTGGGACTGTTGAAGGGGATATTACTATATTGAGCTCGTTGGATATGCGGGTGCAGATGACGGTTAAAAAGGCACACCTTGGCATCGTGACTGCATTGGCTTTCACACAAGATTCAAGGTTATTATTCCACCTTCCCACCCCACCCCCCGCATCATAATCTTAGGGTCTTAAGAACTTTTTTTCTTTGTCGCGTACAGGGCACTGGTTTCTACATCCTTCGATTCAAATGCACGAGTCACAGTAATCGAGAGCCAAAAAAGTAGCGGTAAAGTCTCGATCTGCCTTTTGGTCTTAGGTGCATGCTTATGTTTTTGAAGATTTTGATTATATGTCCGTCGCCAGGGCCCAACCTGTGGCTTTTCGTGCTGGTGATCATGCTGGCCGTTCTGGTCTATTACTTGAGGTTTACGGGAGTCTTCTAAAGGGGTGCACTTCGGGCTGCTTTTTGATCGCGGATACGTTTTTGTCGGACAAGGGACCGTTTCGATTGAATAATATGTTCAGGGATGCTTTTGCACGCCAAATGGAATGAATGCACCGACAGAATGACCAACTATTTTCAGCTCTGGATTCAAGAAGAAAGCTCCCAATAGCTTCTAACATTAATGAGTTGCAAATTTAGATTGAATTGTTTTTGGTTTCATAAGAACTCGCCTGTAGACGCTGTCATGTACACCTCCAAATAAAATAAAATAAAAAAATTGAAGAGAAAATCCAACAACATTCAAAGGCTTCAGTCGTAGAGACACCCTAGTACTGAAGAAGTGCCCACAAGGACTACCATTCACACAATGTCTACACATATAAATCTTCTAACATTCAGTCGGAAGAGAGACGGGCACTGGTACTCAAGAAGTGCCCACAGAGACTACCATTCACACAATGTCTATCTCAGGCACAAAAAACAACAATCTCTCAGACACATCACTCGTCTCTAGTGCTGTCCTTGATCCACTCCAGATACTTGTGATTCCCCCCGGTGATGGGCATGGCAATGACTTCAGGAACCCTGCATCCATATTTCTAATTGTCAGCTTACTCTCTCTCTCTCTCTCTCTATATATATATATATATATATATTGGAACCATGGCACTTACTCGTACTCATGATTGGATTTCACATGTTCAGTCAATGCACCAATAAGGGATTCCCGGGTCTTTATTATCAGTAGTTCCTCAGAATCTGTTTGTACCTGAAAATTTAATACACAAAGGCTGTAACAAAATTACCTCCCAAATCAATATTTTAAATAAGAAAGAATTCCATTAAACCTTAGAATCTAACCTTGCCATCCCACCAATAAACTGACTCAATACCTGCAACCATAAAATGCACGCATGCTCAGAGAAACATCAATTTGAATGATGTATCTTACAAGTATTTATGATATAACCATGGATGTACATCTTGTCATGTCAATAAATTATGACAATAAAAATAATAATCACCGACTAATTCAAACAGTTATTGCTTACCAGCAAAACATCTATATTAGGAACCTGAGGAACTGTATGGCCATAGGCGTAAACATAAATTCTTTCGACAATCAGGTCTATAGTTGCTCAACTTCAACTTCAAATTCCAAGAAAGGAACTGTATGCCCATAGGCGTAAACATGCTCTCAAGCAACAAAAGAGCCGAAGCCAACATCAAAAAATTGTAGTTGTTTCTTGAACTCATGAAAAATACAAAAGATGGCATCATAGGAAAGATAGATGCACAGTGTAGCAGCTTGTGTTGGATAGTGCCATCTAACACACATGCTCTGGGCCAAAGAACTCTAATAGGTAGATGATTCTAGCAATGTTAGTCTCAAAAATATATTGCACGGTTAATGCTTTGATAAGGACATCAGCAACTGTTAAAGCACTAGCCCATTCTCTCTCTTCCTCACTGAATACTTATGGGGCATACATTTAGTTGAATTTATTGTGACTTATTTAATAGAAAGAATTACTAGTCAAACCATGGACAATCCAGATTGAAGATGAACACTAACAATTTCATCAGATCCAAGATACAATAGGCAATCCAGATTGAAGACTTGTATGGATCCTTGTACTTAAAAGATAACAAGAAGCTGTAATGTCAAACAAAGTTTTCAATAATCAAACAAAGAGATCTTTTGTGATTTCTAATTAGGAATGAGCTACATGAATTTTTCCTACAATTCAGCCCCATTGAAGGCAAAATCAATAATTAAACAAAGAGCAATCTTTTTTTTCTGTGTGTGTGTGTTTTCTAATAAAGTTCTCAAAATTAGGAATCTTAGAGACCTCCTCATATTCATTGAACACATACATGAATTTTTCCTACAATTCAGCCCCATTGAAGGCAAAATCAATAATTAAACAAAGAGCAATCTTTTTTTTCTGTGTGTGTGTGTGTTTTCTAATAAAGTTCTCAAAATTAGGAATCTTAGAGACCTCCTAATATTCATTGAACACATACTTTATAATATCATAATGAGTGCTATGTTTTACACTATAGAATCACAATGATCCATGGGATTATTTCCCATAAATGTTTCAAGATATGCTCATCATGATACATGCTTTATATTTTCAATGTTCACACCATTTTCAACATTGACTTATTTGCATTACCATATTAAACATTGACTTATTTGCATTACCATATCCAATAATGTATATAGATTTGAAACCAACCCGAAATGCCAGATATGGTCCTGTTTTTGGATCAATAAGCATGTTGGATTTGGTTTTGGAACTAGATGGATCCAGCCTGACAACTTCCATCTATGATGTGCAATCTCCAACAACAAAAGGATAAAAGTTCCTTTTGACAATTATATCAAATTCTAAAACAGTAAAGTCACGAAGGAAATGATTTCTGATATTATCTTACAAAGGAGTGAAGGATATCTCTAGCAATGAGTTCAAAGAAAATGCTACATATAAACTTTCAAGCAAGATAGTTGCATGTTGCTACAGTCAACAAGATCTTCATAATTAAATAAATATCTGCCGTATACACAGAATCTATAAAACACTAATAAACAAAGATGAAAGGCACAAAACTTGATATGAATTTATTTTTAAGCAGGATTATCACATGCCATAAAAACAAAACTGATGTACATGCCTGGCACTCGATTGACACATGCAGCAAGTCTTTCCTTGATGATGCTTTCTGCAAGTTTCATGCCTATGTTTAAACAAGTAAAATCATTTAATTATGAATTCAAATAGCACTAGAAAATTTGGAAAGGAACATCATAATTAGAGAGCAACAGACAAATTAGAGAATAAAGTAGATTTGCGTAATTTAGAGAGAAATAAGTCCAAAAGCATGGAGATGCATTTGGTATCATGTTAATATCATAATTGTCTCAAACAACAAACTTAAACATGCATCCGACAGTAAATTAGATGCAATATAGTTGCCCATCACTGTCCCCTCAACTAACGCAGAAAGATGGGCATCAGCTTATTGCACAAAACTTAATCATCTACTAGACATAGGAAAAAAAATTTCCTTGTGATTGGCGCATGTACACATGACAAATGAGGGATAACATTACTACATGAAGCCTGTTGCTGGAAGTGACAAATTTTGAAACTTATTTAGTAAATCAAAATGTTGTTCATGCATAAATAAGAAAATAAATTGTATACATTTTGGATTGGAAGATCAAACCAAAAAAAAAATTGGAAAAGCTTATTATTATTCAAGGAATGCCTATAACCAAGAAACTTATAATTGAAAAAAAATTTGAATAATTATATAAGAAAAACATATGGTGAATATAAAGGGGGTGCATGGGGGGGATTTGGATATGGGGAGAAAAATTGAAGATGATAGTATAATTTTTGGATTTTACAACTTCGTATGATCTTATAATTGTAAATACCCACTGTAAGAAGAGATACGAACATTTATTTACTTATAAGAGTGGTCATAACTGTAGTCTAATAAATAGACTTTCTTCTCACTCAAAGATGGATAAAATTAGAAAGCATGACAAATCAACATAAGTTGATGGTATTAGATATTTAGAAAATGAAAGAATAAAAAGATAATAGAAAAAACTACTAGGATTAGATGGTGAAATTTTAAAAATGATAATGTAAACACTTTTAATAATAAGATGGAAAAAGATGCAACTTAAAACTTAAATAAGGATAATATTAATATTATTTGAACTACGATGGCTAATAAGATTAGGAGCTTAACAAAAGATATTCTTAGTGAAACTAAAGGTAGAGGTGTAACGATAAGAGAGAATTGGTGATGGTTCGAGGAAATTTAAAAAATAATTTTTACAAAAAGATCATGTTTTAAAGATTAATAAAATAATAAAAATAAGGAAAAACTTAAAAGATATAAAAAATTAAAAAAGAGGCTACAAAAAGCAGTTAGTATGACAAGATATAAAACTTACGATAATTTTTATAATAAATTAGGTACTAAAGATGGTAAAAAAGATACATATCGAATTAATAAAGATAGGAAAAAAAAATATAAGGATTTAGGTAATATTAGATGCATTAAAGCCGAAGATCAAAGAATAATTTTTAATGACAATGAGATTAAGGAAAGATGAAAAATTATTTTTATAAATTATTTAATGAATATTCCACACAAAACTTAGATTTAATGATAAATAATAATGATAGATTTAATAATCATATGTTTATTCAGAAAATTAGAGCTAATGAAGTAAAAGATGCATTAAGGAAGATGAAAATAACTAAAGAGTATGGGGCCTAATGATATCCCTATTGAGGTATGAAAAAGTTTAGGGAACAAGTGAATAGCTTGATTAACTGGTTTATCTAACAAAATCATGAGATTCGAAAGAATGTCTAATGAATAGAAAAAGAGTATTCTAGTGTCAATTTATAAAAGTAAAGGTGACATACCGGATTGTTCAAATTATAAAGGAATTAAAATCATGGGTCATACTATGAAACTTTAGAAAAAAAGTCATCGAAAGTAGGATAAGGCTTGAAACAAATATCTCTGAAAATCAATTTGGTTCTATGCTTATAAGATCAATCATAGAAGCTATTTTATTAAGATAGTTAATGAAAAGGTATAGGGAGAAAAAAAAAGATGTGCATATGGTTTTTATTGACTTAAAGAAAACCTATGATAAGGTTCCTAAATATTTATTATGGTAAGTTAAAAAAAAATAAAGATGTATCCACTACTTATATTGATGTTATTAAATATACGTATGATAATGTAGTTATTAGTGTTAGAACTATTGGGAGTGTAACTAGTGAGTTTCCTATTAGCATGGGATTACACCGAGGATCCACATTAAATCCCTATCTTTTCACATTGATAATGGATGAATTTACTAGTCACTTACATGATAGACCTCGTTAGTGTATATTATTAGTTGATGAAATTGTCTTAATCGATGAGAGCTTAAGTGGAATTAATTATAAACTTGAGCTATAGAGACAAATCTTAAAAACTAAAGGTTTTAGATTAAGTATAACTAAAACTATATATATATATATATATATATATATATATATATATATATATATATATATATATATATATATATATATATATAATTTTAATAATTTTAGAAATAGACAAGAGAATATAGTTAAACTGGATGGACAAGAAACCCCTTTAAGTAAATCAATGAAGATATTATTCATAGAGTAAAAACGGGATGATTAAAATGGAAAGATGCATCAAAGAGTCTTGTGTGATCATCAAATATCTTTAAGATTAATAGAAAAATTTTATAAGATGGTTGTAAGATCAACAATGCTTTATGGATCTGAGCGATGCGCAGTCAAGAAAAAACATATACAAATAGTTTGTGTTGCCAAGATAAGAATGTTGAGATGGATGTATTGCGTTACTTAAAAAAAAGAAAAAAATATTTTTATTCGTGAATAAGTATCACTTCAACAGAAGACGCGATAAGATAAAATCATTTAAGATGATATGAGTATAGGCTGAGAGGACCTCCGGATGCGGTAGTCAGAAAGGTGAAATAATTAATGTTAGTGGTATAAAAAAAGGTAGAGGAAGATAAAAAGACTTTAATAAAAACTATAAATAAATATTTAGGTACTTTAAACTTAACTAAACATATGGCTTTTTATAGATCTCAATGGTAACAAGAAATACATGTAGCTAATGTAATCATCGATAATTTTTTTCCTTAACATAAATTAATTAATATAAATGATATATTACTTTATTATTTACTTCTATATTTGTGTATTATAGTTAAGGAAATGATTAGATTTGGTTTCCTTAATCATATGGATAAGTTAGGAATTCTATTAATCAATTAAATTATTAATTGATTTATTTCCTAATGAGTGATTTGATATTTAGAAAGTAAATAGTTTACATTCCATTTTTATGTGTGAACTATAAAAAATAAATATTATATTACTTTTTTTGTGTGTGAAAGCAAATGTAAAATAAATTAAGAATAAAAATTAAATTATTACTTACCTTTCGGGGAGATCTCATCTTCTCCTATATAAAGGGATTATTCATCCCTCATTCTCAACTAGGCCTAACAATAGGAGGATTGAGGAGATGATTTTCTGGGGAGATGATATCAAGGAAGGGATAATCGAAAAGAGGTAGGATCCTTTCTTTTTAATTAGTTTTGATTTGTGTTTTGAAATCTTGACATTGAGATTGTTACAATTTTATAATGAATAATGATGTTTTAATTTCGAAATTTCATGATTTTTGAATAATAATAATTGATTTATGATGTTCGACTAATTATTTGATTTGTATTGATCTTTTAAGCTTAAGTGAATTTTAATATTGATTTAATTATTAAAATTCTTATTTAGTATAATAGTTCTTATTTATTTAATTAGTTATATCTATATTTCAAGAATTATGTGTGAATTTCTGTAATGTAATTAGTTTTAAATTTTAGATCATGAATTTAAAGATTTAATTAATTTATTTGAATAATTCTTTAATAATTTTAAATATTAAAATCTAATTTGATAAGAGGAGTCTAATTGGGGTCTGACTTGAGTCAAGTTGATCGATCAGATCGAATCGACTCAGACCATGTGATCATGTACAACCTAGCTTATGTGACTAAGTACAACCTAGTCCATGTGGTCAGGCATAACCCAACCCATGTGGCTAGGTACGATCTAATTCATATGGCCATGTATGACCCAGCCCATGCGGTAAGGTACGACCCAATCATGTGGTTAGGCATGGACCAGCTCATGTGGCTAGATACAATCCAGTCCATGTGGCCATGTATAACCCAACTCATATGGTAAGGTACGACCCAAACATGTGGCTAAGCATAGGCCAGCTTATGTGGCTAGGTACAACTCAGTCTAAGTGGTCAGATACGACCCCAACTCATGTGTCTATGATCAATTCGTGAGCCAAGCATGGCCTAGTTCAATGGTAAGGCCCAGCCCAACTTATAAGTGAGGCTTAGCCTAGTCCATGAAGTTAAGCCTGCCCAGCTACGTGATTGATATTAGACATATCGTCGCTCCTTTTATATATAGCCCGTCGTACCTCAACTCAACCTAGTATTTGGAACAAGTATATGCAATATATATAACCCGCCCAAGACTCAGGTGGGTTGGTTCGGTTTGGGTTAGTACTATACGACATAGTCCAATCTCCTTCTCTATTGGTTTGAGCTCATTAATTGACGAAATCAAATAGGTTTGATCAGTTAAAGCTGATTTAGGGTGATTCCAAACTAACTTGACTGGTTAAAACCTATTTGACCTAATCGAGATCAATCAAATCTAAATTAGACCGGTTTAGGGTGATTCCAGACTGGTTCCATAAGGATTTGGTATTGGTTTCGTTAGATCATAATCGAATTGAGTTTGGTTTAAGTCAATTGAGCTATTCCAATTAGGGTTTTGATTGATTGAGGACTATTGAGATATTGATATTTAATTGATATGATGAATTTAAAGGTTTTATCTGAAGATGTCATTTGAAAATGATTATTGGTTTTCTATGTTTATGATATTGATATGATAAGTATCATGTAGTAGATGTGACTAGACTAGTAGTTCACATTGGGAGTGCAACCTGTGAAAGGAGCTACAGGCCCATCATAGTGCGGAGCCACCAATGAACAAAGTCTAGTAGATTTACATCAAGTATAGTCTCTCATAATATTTAATCATATTGATTTCTTGATGTATGCATAAGTGATTGAATGAGTGTAAATGAATGATCATGGATGTTATGTATCCCTACCGAGGGCAGGTACGGCGATTCCCTTCGGGGATTAGCGGGCCGTCAGACGTGATGGTTAGACGGTTCCTCCGTCCGCTGTTGGGAGGAACGTGTCCCCACTTGGGCGGGTGAGGGATACCACTCCATCCGCTATTGGGAGTGCGATATGGATTATCTCCATCCGCTGTTGAGAGGAATCCATCCCGTGGAATATGCCTCTCCATCCGTTGTTGGGAGAGCGCACCATTGGGTGATGTACGCCTTTGTTATTATGTATGTATTGTATGTGGCTGATGCATGATTTTGTTTATTATGCAAGAAATTATCATCCTTTTTCTGATGCATAAGTTTTATGATGAATAGATATATTTTCATATTGAATTATTGATATTTGTTTATATTTTATGAATATTAAAGATTATTTTTATGACTTTTCTGAGGTTCCTACCAGCATGTGTGGTTGCTGATGTGTTTTTATTTTATATTTATTTTCAGAGTAATCGACTATTGTGTAATAGATCTGAAGCTTGGGTGGAAGAGACTTGTGACCCTGTGAAGAAGATGTCATTTTTCTAGCTAATAGAATATCTATTACTGTAAAGACAATAATTTGAATTCAAAGACGAATGAAAAGAAAATGAGGGAGTTTATTATGTAAATTATGGATAATAAATTACTGATTTATTATTCTTTTTATAAATTCGGGATGTCATCATAGCCTTCATGGAAGAAAATAAATATTATTTTTTTATATAACTTTTCATAAGCTTCTTCCAAGCTGATTATTGAACTTATACCTTTTTCTTTTTTTTAATCATATATCCATATAATGATCTTCATTCAAGGAGGAAGAGGAGGCGATGGAGGAAGAGGCTGAGAAGAATAGGCGATGAAGCCAACAACAATGGGCATATGATGGAGAGAAGAGAAGGAGACACTCACACATGCCCTATGCATCAATGCTCGGACATTTAAAAGAAAAAACCACAGTTGTTGGCTTAAGAAAAAGGACCAGATCAGACTACCTAAAATGGAGCGATCTACCTCGAATCATGCTCAAACCAACTATTATTGATCAGTACAAACACAATTTAATTCCATGGTTTTGCCACACCTACCATGACAAAACCTTCAGATAGTTCAAGTTTAATTACTTAAATGTCCATAAAATTATGTTTGTCACAAAATTTGAAACTTTTATTTTATCCCTTGCTTTTCCTATTCAACCAAAATGTAAATTTTTCTTGTCAAGAATGGCATAAAACAGTCTATAAGACATCATAATGGATATAGTAAAGCAGTTTATGAAAAGATTTCTTTTGATTTATCCATGAATTAGATCTTGGCTCCAAACATCCAGTTTGTAGTTCACTTGAAATCAAGCGCAAAAAAATAGATGTCTCTATGTGGAAAAACAGCTACATTTTTATGTAAGATATCATATTTGTGTTATCATGTTAGAATGTCGATCTCAAGATTTACAATTTTTTCACCCTGGTCATTAGATAAGGCATATTATTTGCAATAAATTAGACCCAGAAAAATGACAGTACATGTATTCAGCAATGAATTCTATTTGTTCCAAAGTCATGGTAGATTGAGCTCTTCAGCAAACTTTTCTGTCTGAAATTGTGCAGTAAACTGAACATCATGGTTCTTTTGTTTCAAATATCTATTTCCCTTTATAAAAGTACTCGTATGATCCACAACATCAAATTATGTGTCATTACAAGTTGTTGCAAGGTAATGAATGTAGTATAACTAACAAGAAAGGAATGGCAATACATAATTTTAATGAGACCTTTTTGTTCCTAAATGAAATATTCAACACTTCAGCTTACTTTGTGTCAAAGAGATCATAGTGTGAACTCAACATCATGGATTTTTTTCATGATAATTTTAATTTTGTATCTTCATTTTGTCATGGATGCTCCACTCCAGAAAGCACTTGTAGCATCTAATAAGACAAATAACAACAGTTTTGACAAATAATTCAAGCTTAATGAATATCACACCTAATGAACACAGAATAACTATATCAAACAGGGTGCTGACCCAAAGGTATATATTGATGGCACAAACAGCATATATTTCAAGAGTCTGAAAGATAATATATACAATGTGATTAACCTTTTGTGTTAAGAAAGCTTATGAAGAAACAAAAGTCTGCCAAATAGGATATTGTCTTGTAATCAAAAAAAGCTTGTGAAAAATTCATTGTTTGTAAAGAGTAAAGACAATAGTTAAAGTTGTGCTATGGTGAATATAAACCTATCTGGACATTTACCCAACAAACTAAATGCAACAGAAACCAATGTAAACCATGTAGTTCCATCCATCAACAAAATCTCAGAACCACATTTGTAACTCATAAGATTTACATTCACTAAAATGCCAGATTAGCAAGTCAGCAATTAGAAGTAAAGAACACTTTAGAAGACAAACAAACCTGCTTCTCTGTTTGGTACAGTCACATAGACAACAATAGATGGAACAGTAGTTGAAGCACCTTCCATTATAGTAGAGTGAAGACTTCTGTTGGATGGCTGGTTAACAACCTTTGACCTGCATAAACAGAAACATTGAGCAGAGAGAAAAAAAAGACTGACATAAGAAATTAAAAGAAATCTGCCAGAAGAAACCATAATAGAATTTTCTTATTGGTAAAATGACCTGTTTATGTGAGAAAAGACAAACAAACAGAAAGAGAAGGTTCCAACCTTCACAACCAAGAGAGAATTTTAGTGGGGTACCAAACCTAAACCTACTGTGAGAACCAGGTACACTAGAACAACTGTAAGATGGACCTGAACATTTTTTCAGCCCCAGACTGACGATAGAAACCACATCGCAGTTCACAGCTTGTGGTGACAAAAGAAACAGGCTTTTCCAAAACAAAAGATGCACCTGAACGATACACACAAGAACAGAAGGCTTGCCTGCCTGAGGCACACAGTATTTGCCATCAAACAATGGACCAGCTATCATCCACAAGATGCTTGTACTAATTTGCAAGAATTGCTCTAGAGTTCTAGACAATTCTGGAAGACAGTGACCCCTTGTAGCATTCACTCAAACTTAGTTTACGAAGATTGCAATAAACAACTAAAATATGTTCCATCTTGAGTAAAAATTCTGTAAGATAAAGTGAATCTTTCATAGCAATCACTCAAACAGGTGAGACGTAGAGATTTCTATTCAGAGATCTTGGCTGCACAACCACAACCACGATGCGTTCCTTAAACACTACACGGATGCATGGATACCTACTCGAGTTCAAGAACAAAATACTTCACAGCACGATCACCAACCCTGTTATCAAGATTCAAGATCCTCAACGACCTTGTCATCAAGATTCAAGATCCCGCTCTTCTTACGACAGTATATACAGATACAAGAAAAATATAGCAATCTAATACCCAAGAAGAGATGACAAGAACATGATCGAGAAGAACCAACGGGAATCCCTCCAGATTCCGGGTCCAACAAGCGAGGGATTGAGGTTTTACCCGAGGAAATGGAAGCGGCGAAGGGCCTGGGCACTGGCAAAGCCCGACCTGTAGGCGATCGCGGAGAGGGTGCCGAGGCTCAGAATACAGAGCGCCCCGACGAGCGGAGCGCGGCGTCGAAGCGTTGTCGGCGCCGACGAATGGCGGCGAGGTGGAGCGGCGCAGAACGCCGAGACGGCTCGCGAAAGGCTTCCAAATGGCATCTCCTCCGCCCCACTCTTCTTTTATATATATATATATATATATATATATATATATATATATATATATATATAGTCTATTTATTTCTCTGGTTTTACGCATCTATCCCTTCAAAGCTTCGTAAATCACATATGTGCCGCTCCAAATCTTAATATAACATCTACACAGACACACACTGCCCTTATAAAATACCAAACCTACTCTTTACTGTAATCATCAAATTCTTTGATCATTTCAAGACAAATTTGGGAGAATTACATATACACATATAATATTATGATTGATGATCATGCTTTTATCTACTACCACATTATGCATTTTGATGTCAAACCAAAGCTAATATGTCCTCTTTCCAAGCCATATGATGCCATCATCATTTACTTAGGACAAAAAGGCTGCTCCTTTATAATCCTCCTCTCCCCTTCTCTTCCACCGCTTACAGGCATCATTTCGACATTACTGTCATCCTCCACCTTCCACTGCCTTCGCAATGTCAACTGCTCACTTCACTGAAGACCAAGAACATGAAAAGTTTCTCCTCGAGGCTTCTTTCTCTCCCTCTAAAGAGACCATTTTGAGGAGCAGGGAAGGAAGAACGGCCTCGAATCTGGATTTGTCCTGCAGCTTTGATCTATCTACAATGGGCGTGAGCTATAGATTTGCTTCCTCCGTCCTCCTCTGCCCGGAAGACGGCAAAAGCATCCTGGGAAGTGATGATGAGGAGAAACAAGAGCAGGGCCTCAATGGAGAGGTTGAAAGGCGCAGCCTTTGCCATTTCCCTGGCGAAGGGGGCGATTTTTATGGGGAACCTTTGCCGTCTGAGGATCGCATCGCCTTGATGGTTGAGAGGGAGTCCCATCATCTCCCGGAGGGAGACTATGCCGGGAGGTTGAGGAGGGGGCAGTTGGACCGGGCTGTGAGGAGTGATGCCATTGACTGGATTCAGAGGGTGGGTTGAGTTGTTCCTTGCTTTCTTGTATTTCTTCATCTCTGGATTCCTCAGCACAATATTTTCCCAGGCCCTCGTTGTTTCTCTGACAAGTACTGGGAGTGCAGGACCATCTGATCCCCGAAAGCATTCATCAACTTAATTAGAGTTTGTTCTTAGTTCTACTTTTCCCCTCCATCGTGATAACTAGTTTTGCATTTGCTTTCCTTCTTTGCAGCTGAAGTTATTTGTGCCTACAATAGTCAAAATTGATCTTTTTAATCAAAGTGATAATTCTCTCTTTCCCAATATCTTCATGGTGTAGAATTTACTTGGTAACTATTTGGTGTTTGTTTCCGAATGGACAGGTTCATGCACATTACAAGTTTGGACCTTTGAGTGCCTACTTGTCTGTGAATTACTTGGATCGGTTTCTCTCCGCTTACAAACTACCGGTAAGAAAAGTTACAAGAACACTTGTTTCCTTAATGTGATCTCTATCTATAACAATGTTGACAAAGTAGCAGGAAAAAGTTCTTTCTTCTTTTCCCTTTAATTTAATTGATTATTTCAGCAAGGTAAGGCTTGGATGACACAATTGTTATCAGTGGCCTGCTTATCCATTGCTGCCAAGGTGGAGGAAGCCGAGGTTCCTTCGTCTCTAGAACTACAGGTAAATGAAAAGCACTACTTTTCTTTTTTTTTCTATGTACATGGTAATCTAGGACGATAACTTCTCAGTTGCCGATCGGTAATTTCCTTTCGGCCAAACAGGTAGGAGAGGCAAAATATGTATTTGAGGCCAGGACCATACAGAGAATGGAGCTTCTAGTGCTTAGCACCCTCAAGTGGAGGATGCAAGCAGTTACACCCTTCTCATTCGTTGATTACTTTTTGTATAAACTCAGTGATGAAAAGTCACCAGATAGCTTACTAATTTATCGCTCTATGGATCTCATTTTGGGCACAATTAGAGGTCAGTGATTTGGAGTAGTACATAATATATGGATCTCTAGTTTGATATGGCAAGCCTAACATGAACTTGACTGTAACCTTTTTGCAGAGAGTGATTTTCTAGAATTCAGACCTTCGGAGATTGCTGCAGCGGCTGCACTGTCAGCCTTGAAAGAGACTCAAAATTCGGGGATTGACATGTCTTTAACATGCTGCATCCATGTAGATACGGTAAGATAATCCATCTGTAATGCATTACTTCAATGAACAAATTCTATATATGTTTGAAGGACCTAGTTTTAAATTGGTTTGCACCATGGATTCAGGAAAGAGTCTTGAGGTGTCATCAAGTGATTCAAGAGATGACTTTGATGAAGAACAGGACATATAGTGACAACAACAGTCCATCAGTTTCTACTGTGACAAAGAGTCCAATTGGGGTACTGGATGCTGGGGTCGCGAGCTATGAGAGTGATGATACAACAGCTGGATCACATGCAGATTGTCATCATTCCTCGCCAGCTACCAAAAGGAGGAAACTAAACAGGCCATCAACTTCGTGAAAGGAGGGAAATTTTGTGGTGTTTCCTTGTTTGATCGATATTCCGAATCAGTTTAATTTGTTACGGAGAGCTTTGTCGTGGCCAGCATGTGCCTGAAGATGTAACTAGCTTTAAATCAGTAGAGGAGAAAGGGGAACAAAGGGTTTGTGAATTCTAAGTTCATCCATGTACACCTGACGAGATCCACATTCTTAGAGCATAATGCATGAATGCATGGTCGATAATGAGATATATCAGGCTGGATCTTTTAAATGTGTGAGAAACTCATATTGTCAAACAAAAATTGAGAAAACATGATGTTTTTTGTTTCTGCTTTTTGTTCTTAGGAATATTACAGATCTTAATTCATTTTGTGATTCGAAGATGAGCACTCTCTTGCACCGCTTGCTTGGTCTTTGTTTGTTTCTGTTTCTCACATAAATGCAAACAATAGGATGGTATTCTTCACCTTGTTTCAGATAAAAAAGAAAACCCAAAAAATGAAGATCCAAGAGAGAAAATTAGAATCAAAAGCATGTATCCCATTGGCATTCCTCTGATTACTTGCTCCTGTATCTGTATTTTTCGCCATGTCCTTGCATTGTTTGACTGCTTGTCTGCTTAGACTCTTTGATTTGCTGCCCCTTTGATATAAATGCAGAAGAGCCCACTCTTCAGTACAGATCCAGTGATGGCAAAGGTACAGACAAGGATTAAATATTTATAGGGAGGAGAGTTGGTGGACCTTTAGGAATATTCAGGTCCCAGCATCAGCTGTCAAAACAATGTAAATACACTGAGGGATCATTCCCCTCCTGCCTTAGCATTTGTTTTACCTTCATCATATGTAGACAAGGATGAGTACTTCCTAAGTCCCAAACTTGTGTCTCCTGTGGTTTCTTGTGTTGGTGTCTGAGAGCTTTGAGCTACCTGCCTGTATGTGAGAGTGATACTTGTCAGGTTCCTAAGACACTTTCATATTGAACTTTTTTACTAGTTTACTATGGGAAAAATATTTTTTATGTTCTCTGGTTTTGAATGCTGTTGAGGAAACTTCAGATACATCCAATTAAGATGTTTATGGATAAATAGTTAGCTGACAGCTTGTTTAGCAGGCAATTTGGTTTGTTTATTGTCATTGATGGGCTCCATTCCATTTGCAATGCTGCTTGCCTGCTGGTCTTCTTACTATGGCAGGTGTGCCTGTGTCAACCAATACTGGCATAAGCAGGATGAGTTCCTTCTGAGACAATGAAAGAGAAAGTTTGGCCCTTTGGAAGTGCATGAAAGGGACCAAAGAGAAATTGCTTTATTGATGCATGGGGAAAGGAAACTTGTGTACAATATCCCACAGGGAACTGTCATGAGGGAGGGTGATGCAGCTTCACAAATACAGGTAGGCTCTTCAGATACATATGTCTCTACTGGCTCATGCTATAATCTTTTATTCAGGGTAGAACTCTCACCATAATTGTGAATTTCTGCTCTAGTGACACTGACAAAGCTTGATGCACAAATGAATCATGTCTTATAATAATCCATAATGATATAAACTCAACTGTGTGGAATGTCTTGAAGAGCCAATGCTGTGCATGAAGGTTTCATATCTACATTTCAGTTAGAATCAGAGCTGCTAGAAATGTTCATATTCACATGAACTTTTGCAGTCATGCTTAGTTATCAAAATCATTGCAACTCCTACTGGCACACATATGGAAGCAATTTAATGCACATCTCAAGTTCATGATTCCTACATCCAGCCTAGTGTTAATTGCTGATCAATGTGACTCCCACAGTGATGGGCACAGCCAATATGAAAAGAAGAGTACAAAGCTGAAACAATTCTAAATGTTTATCCTATCTAAAGCTTAGAACATAAAGACAACCAATGTCAGTTTGGAATCACAAGAGATGAGACACAAAGCCATAGATTAGATACCTTTAGAACTGCTGTAACATGGGATTCATCTTTTACACCTCCACCGCACTCTGATTCCACCAGTACAGTAGAAGATAGGAAGAGAACACTAGTTTAAAGGATCTCTTCACTCTTTAATATGTCCCACCTAACATGCTCCCCAGCACGCCCGGCGGAGATGGTCCACTGGTCTCTCTCAAGACTGTGAGATGCCAAGTTGTAGCAAGGAATCCTTTTCGATCTGTACCCTTGCAAACAGAGAGTGAGTCGAAGATATCGATTCTATTTTTCTTGATAACTCCATTCCTGTTGTTCTGAAGTGAGACTTCAACTACACTCTAAGATCTGACATCGAAACTAGAAGAGATTGCTTCCCATCTTTCTGGGGCCCAACACATCATGTTGGTGACTGTAATGGCTACCTGGATCGAACACCTTGTGTGCATCTCAATGCCCAGAAATATTATTAGTCCATGGAGATGCTTGTTTAGGTTTCGACCGGAGATGGAAGTAAAAGACAAGGGAGGACTGATTCAGGTCGGGCCACTGCCTGTAGAACATAGCTGACTAGGTCAAAGAGCCTGAAGCTCGGCACATCTCCTCCTGTTCTTCCCATTAAGAGGAGTCAATGACAGGGTTATGAAGGATGAGACGAGTAGTATCACCTCATAATTCAACTTGGTCGGAAGGAACACGGCAGGTGGGAAGGACATGATGACTGAAGAGGATCCATTATTGCCTCGTGATCAGCTCAATGGAGTTCAACAGCCGACCCAGTCGTGGGGATGAGCAGCTTGTGCGCACTCCAGCCTTGTGTCTGGAATTTGGAATGCTGCTCCACAGATTCTGCCAACCGATGAGACTGTCGGTGAGCATTGAATTCTCACAGGACACATGATGGCCCATCACGTACATTACAAGGCACTCTCCTGTACAGAGAATGATACGTGGAGCTCCCACTCAACCAGTCCAACATAGACGAAGTATTATTAGCAGCAGCAGAATAAGTCTCTCTACATTGAGTCTATATATATATATATATATATATATATAATTTGTGATGTATCAAGTAGGAGTCGGAACATATCATGACAAAACTAACAAAAATCTAATAAGATTCATCTTGTAATAAAGAGAGCATATCACAAATGGATTACGAAATCGTTACGGGTTAGGTACGATATGAATGGTATTTATCTGTTGATCTCAATATGCGTACCGAACTAGATATGCCAAATAAACCGATCCAACATCAACCCATGAGTGAGTTAGAGTTAGATATAACAATGTCAAAATCATGTTGTGTTCAGATGATATAAATTATATGGTTCTGAGTGTTAGGAGGCTTTTGTGTGCTGACTTCTGTGATGTAAATTATAAGGTCATGCACAAGAAGCCCAAAAATAAATGGTTATATCATATATTAGCAAGTCTTAACCACTATGATTAAAACATTTGGCTTGCTTACAATAGTAACATTGCATGTATCATATTAAGCCTTCTCCACACATGCATGCCAATGATGACAACCATCACCACTTGGTCAAGTCAAAAGACTGCCACAAAAATATCAAGCCATGTCGCAATCACATGCCAATCATCGATTACGCATACACCCTATGTTCCACATGTTCTTCATCGTCTCCTACCTTCGACCCTCTCCCTCTCTCTCATGCTTTCTCCCCTCTCCTCCTCCAGGAAGCGGGATGGCGAGCTTGGGAGGTGGAGAGTCGCCGCCAGCGGCGGTCTGTTGCATGTGCGGCGATCACGGCTTGCTGCAGGAGCTGTTTCAGTGCAAGGTCTGCCTCGTTAGATCTCAGCACAGGTAAGCCTTCACATCCTTCTGCTTTAGCATTGTTCATGTTTGCATGCTGCAGTCTTGGATATATTGGTACCATAAGCACGGCTGAGGAGCCTATCACAACTCCTCATTCTTGTAGGCTTTCCTCTCCGATTGGGTAGCATGCAGGAAGAGGATTTTGATCTGTTCTTTTTCTTAGATCGGTTGCACACGAAAACTACACCCATATATCATGAGATCTTCAGGAAATCTCAAACAAATAGAAAGGTATACGACTTGTCGATGATCAAACCGAACCGCAAGCCATAAATCTAGCAATTGAATTTGATCAATCTTTTCTTCTTTAATCTGCCGAACATGACTGACAAATCACCGTAGTCTATCATTGGTTGTACTAATCACCAAATTGTTGTCTCACTTGGATTGGCATCGATCAACCAGATACTGCAGCGACCTTTATCCGAAGTCCGAGTCATACCGAGCATGCAATTGGTGTCTAAGAGATGGAGGAGCAAAAGGTCTTGCGGGAGATGCCAAAAGGTCAACCTCTTCCTGCAACGCCATGGACCGTCGAAGCAGCGGCAGTACTGGCACAGGAGTCAAGGTCCACCGTCAGGCTTCTCCGTCACAGCTGAGCAAGCCCATCAAGAAGCTGAGACTGCTGTTGCATCGATCGGCGTCGGACATAACCGATCGCATGCGGTCGGAAGAGCTTTCGCCCAGCTTCGGTAGGGGGAGGCAGGTCGCCAAGGGAAAGATCAGAAGGTACAAACTCTTGGAAGAGGTCCCGAGCTAATCTGCACACCAACCTATGGCAAGTACGTAGTACGTGTGCGCGAGAAAGGAAGGACGGCTGCTTCTGCTGCATTCAGCTGTATTATCTTATATTATCTGCAAGTGTACAACTCTTTGGCTCTCAAAAATGCATTCGAAGTTTCAAGACATGCAATAAAGATACGATGGGATGTATTGTCTAATCTAATAGGTTGGAGAACTCGATCTCTGTGGTCTGCGCTGCTCTCTGAGGCTTTACGGTATGAGTGTCTCAGGACAACCATTAGGAGCATATCTTCTTACCATAAGGAAATAAAAGGTGCATGATGTGATGAAGGACAAACATTTGATGATTCCTGATAAGGAAGAAGATATAGATATTAGAATGATAAGTAATCAATTTATTCTTAGGTTTTAGCGGGGAATAGAGGATGGGAGAAAATGTAAAAGAAATTCTTCAAAATTTACATAGACGGATATATAAGAGTTGAAATTAACTCAACGGTGTTTATATTTGATTTGATATGATAAAAAAAAATTTATTTTTTTTAATGGACGTACAAGAGGAGTACCCAACCAATTTCATTCTATGATAACATAGGGTTGTTGGAGTAAACAACCTGGAGCCGTGGCCTCGGGGCCGACGCGGCTCGGTTCGGGTCCGGACGACAGGGATCTCCTTGGGGCATCCCTCGAGCCCGCCGAGGTGGTCGCGCTGAGGTGGTCCGATCAGGACGGGGTGGCCACTTCCTCCGGGCAGGAGCTTCTCGCCTGCGAGTCCCGCGGGGACCTTCGGCTCCGCACCTACACAAAGGTCGGGTCGGGAAGCTCGAACCGACCCCTCCAACGATCAAGTTAGATGATTGTGGAGGGGGTTTCAGATGAAGAAGTGTTTTTGTGTGTCTCTCCCTCCCGCTTTCCATTCAGAATGCGAGGGTATTTATAGGGAAGCTTACTGTTTCCTGATGTGCCCGCTTGTAGAGGGTAGGCTGGTAGCATCTGACACCAACGTTGGCGTGGCGTGAGGAACCGAGCATGGGCAGGCGTTAATGCGCCTCGGCCGATGTTCTAGTCCGTTTGACCAGGTGTTGTCGCGTTGATCGAGGCATGAGGCGTCATCTAACGTCAGCCGAGTCTTATCATAATTACTATCCTCATCATATTTCCCCCCGGAAATAAGCTATGCGTCGGTCGTTGTAACGGGAGTCCGAGGCATGGCTTCAGCTTTCAGGCGGGCTGGCCGCGCAAGCACGGTCTCGGGGAGCATGGAGCCGAGGGGCACGACGCAGGAGGGCTGGCCGCGCTGGTGTGTCTTAGGGAGCATGGGACCGAGGAGCTGAGGAGCACGACGCAGGCGGGCTGGCCGCGCAGGTGTGATCTCGGGAAGTATAGAGCCGAGGGGCATGAAGCAGGCGGGCTGGCCGCGTAGGTGTGTCTCGGGGAGCATGGAGTCGAGGAGCATGATGCAGGCGGGCAGGCCGCGCAGGTGTGGTCTCGGGGAGCATGGAGCCGAGGAGCACGACGTAGGCGGGCTGGCCGTGCAGGTGTGGTCTCGGGCATCATGCGACCGAGGAGCACGACGCAGGCGGGCAGGCCACGCAGGTGTGGTCTCAAGCATCATGCGGTCGAGGAACACGACGCAGGCGGGCAAGCCGCGCAGGTGTGGTCTCGGACAACATGGCCGAGGGGTGGCTCGGGTGGCAGGTCGCCCTAAGGGGGGCTCGGCAATCTACGGCCGAGGGATATGGCAAAGGCCGAGGGACACGGCTCAGGCGGGCAGGCCGCCCTGAGGTGGACTCGGCAGTCTACGGCCGAGGGACACGACCTAGGCGAGCAGGCCGCGCTGAGGTGGACTCGGCAAGGACACGGCTCAAGCCGAGGGACACGGCTCAAGCGAGCAGGCCGCGCTGAGGTAGACTCGGGTAGTCTACGGCCGAGTCATGTAGATTCATAAGGGTTTAAGTCGGGGCTAACCGCAAGCCGAGAGGTGGTCAAGCAGATACTGAACCTTCGTTCGGAAGAAACTGAGGCAGGGCTTAGATTTCTTTTCATGAGGACTACATCGGGTAGCCACCGCGGGTGCTTGACCTCTCTTATGGAGCCCGCGGTCGAAAGTCGTCCCTTCTCCTCACGGTCGCCCAGGCCTCCGCTGTGATGTACCGGTTAGCTCACTGGAGCATCTCTGGCACCGTGGTGGGAGGTCGCTCTGTGAGGGACCAGAGGAATCTGGAAGGTCACAGGCCTATCATAAACGCCTGCACTAACAAAGAGGGGTGAGTGTCCGATAAACCTCGGATTTGCGTGGCAAAGCGATCCACAAAATGTGAGAGGGGCTCGTCCTCCCTCTGTTTGAGTATGATGAGCAATGCCGCGGAGGGCTTTGGTCATGCATAGGCTACGAAGTGGAGCTTGAAGTCATTGGCGAGCTGGTCGAAGGAAGCAATCGTTCCGGTCTTCAAGCCGCCATACCACGCGTGGGCCAGCCCTCTAAGAGTGGTAGGAAATGCTCTGCACATCAGGGCATCAGAGGTTTCGTATAGCGCCATTTGGGCGTGAAAAGCGGCTACGTGGTCCGCCGGGTCGGCGGAGCCATCGTAAGCATCCAGCGAGGGGAGCTGGAAGTCCAGGGGGACTGTCAAATCCCGTATCTCGGGCGTGAAGGGAGACCCTTGGTGTGCCTCCTCCCCGAGCTCTCCCTTGGACCTGCGAACCTCTTTCTGCACCTTGTCGAGTCGCTGGCTGACGAAGCGCAACTGGGCCCGCAGGAAATCCGAAGAGAGTGCCTCGGGTTCTGGGCGGTCGCTCGGGTTTGCCATCACTGGATCCCCGAGTGGGGCCGGTCGAACCCGAGGCGAAGTGGGCGCCTTGCGTTGTCACAGTGGTTCGATTGCCGACGGGTGCGCCGACTGAGAAACGAGCGAGATAATGGTTTGCACCATTTCCATCAGAGCTTGGACTTGACGGGCGAGGTTCTGAAAGGCCTTGGATGACACGGGCATTGAGTCGGCTAGGGCGCTGTCGGGCGGCGACAAGCCCGGGTCGTTGAATATTCGCCAATATCGTTCGGAGGTCGTGGCAGGTTGTTCGTCACGATGGTCTCCGTGAGGGGGATGTTCCCCCGAGGCTTGGGTCGGGTGTGACCTCTCAACCGTGGACTCATCTGAGCCGCTCGGGTGATCACCCGACATTCCGGGCCCTCCTTCTAGCGCCAAAATGTTGGAGTAAACAACCTTGAGCCGTGGCCTCGGGGCCGACGCGGCTCGGTTCGGGTCCGGACGATGGGGATCTCCTTGGGGCGTCCCTCGAGCCCGCCGAGGTGGTTGCGCTGAGGTGGTCCGATCGGGACGGGGTGGCCGCTTCCTCCGGGCAGGAGCTCCTCGCTCGTGAGTCCCGCGGGGACCTTCGGCTCCGCACCTGCACAAAGGTCGGGTCGGGAAGCTCGACCCGACCCCTCTGACGATCAAGTTAGATGGTTGTGGTGGGACTTTCAGATGAAGAAGTGTTTTTGTGTGTCTCTCCCTCCCTCTTTCTGTTCAGAATGCGAGGGTATTTATAGGGAAGCTTACTGTTTCCTGATATGCCCACTTGCAGGGGGTAGGCTAGTAGCGTCTGACACCAACGTTAGCGTGGCGTGAGAAACCGAGCCTGGGCAGGCGTTAATGCGCCTCGACCAATGTTCTGGTTCATTTGACCGGGTGCTATCGCGTTGATAGAGGCGTGAGGCGTCATCTGACGTCAGCCGAGTCTTATCATAATTACTATCCTGGTGAAAGATCTTCTTCTTCGATAAAGCTTAGCAAGAATGACAAAAAAAAAAAGAGTAACGAATACTCATTGAGATTATGAATTCAAATATGTAAAAAGTATTTTGTTATTTAGGATTTATTTATTCTATAAAATACTTCATATATCCTAACAAAACTTAACTACTAATCATAAATAAAGATATACATATATTTAAATTTAATTAAAACTATTTTGTATATTAGTCTCAAGGTTGAAAAAAATACTCAGTCCTAAATATTTGAAGCATTATGATTATTTATTATTGTAGTATAAAGAGTATTCGATACATTCTCACTAGTAAATAAAATATATATATATATAGCAATTTTATGGCAGTAAATTTGTGCACACTAATTTTAAAAAGTACGTAATATTTTTTTCATCACTAATAATATAAATATTATCATTTTGCATTTTACAATCGTAACAATAATAAGAATGGAAGTATTAATATATCTCACGTGAGTAGCACGGCGAATGGGTAACGAGCACGCGTTTCCTTGGAGAACGCTGTCCTTCGGGCGATATCCTTCGGGCCCCATTCGGACACCTTCCAACCCTCCATCGAATCCCTTTGGATCGATCTCCGCAGGAAGCGAATCGCAGCAGCAGATATCGCGATTCCAGAAGGCGCGCCGCCGCGATGGATACCACCGCCGATCACGGCGGCAAGAAGGGCCCCGACGGCGACCGTTCCGCCAGCTACGCCCCCTACCCAAAACTCACCCCGGAAGACATCGCGCCGCCCCCCGCGGCTGCCACCACCATGCCGCCCGAATCCAACCCCTATGTCGTCCCCTCCGCCGCTTCATCCTCCTCCAACAGTACGATCGGTTTCCTCTCTCTCTCCCTCAGTTTAGATCAATTGGGTTGCCCGCTCGGTCCTCGTTTGAAGGATTGGAATCTGTTGAATAGATACGATGGACACGGTGCGCGTTGTGCTCGAGAAATTTGGGAAGAAGGTCAATGTAGCAGCGAAGAAAACGGAGGATTTTGCCGGGGATTTTTGGCAGCACTGTAAGTAGTAAGATTCTGCTGATTTATCTTTCTTAGGAGGTGAACCATGTACTCTGTTCTTTGACCATTAATTAGGTCTAAGAAATATGGCGAGAGGATTACAAGGAACTTTCATATCAGTTCTGTGATGCACTTTTAAGGCTGTCTCCGATCTGGAGTTGAGAGGAGGTGACTCTTTGGTTACAGTTTTCACTCTGAATAAACACCACCAAGTTAGTAGCGCAAATTACTAAATGTTCCACTTTCTCTACCAATCTGAGAATAATGAATTAGGGGAACACTTTGGTTTGTAGATCTTTAGATAAAATCTGTTACCCTAAGATACTGGAATGTTGATAAAGATCATTTTGGACAATGCTGATACAAAGTTCCCGTGACAAGTGAAATGTGGGAGAAAGTTGGCATCAACAATCAACTGTGGGTGACTTAGGATTACACCTGTATTCTAGCCTACATGTATTTCGATAGAATTCAGATAGAGATGAGGGAAGAGGATCATGAAATGGTTGGGGGCATGAATTAGTTTTCTGCTCAGGTTGAGGATCGGTCGCTGCGACAAACATAAATAGGTTATTTGATTTATCTGGAATAAGGATAGAAAATCAACAGACAAATAGAAAACGTATACTCAAATAATATTTTTATATTATATTGATTTGGGGATATTTGATGCCTAAAATCTGTTGGAATTTTACAGACCAGCTGATAAGGGTAGTAAGGTCTGTGCTTGATGTCCTTGCTTTTGCTTACTTTATCAAGCATGAATTGGCTTCACAGTTATGTTAATGCATTATCGTGCAGGTCCGGTGACTGTGTGCCGTCAAGATCTATGATCGATTCTTGTTATGCATGCCCTTGTTTCCGTTTCCATTTTGGTATTTTTAATTTTTTCTGTTTGTGATTATTGATATAATATTTTTCCTTGTTTCAGTGAAAACAGGACCTAGCATTGCTGATGCAGCTATGGGGAGGATTGCTCAGACAACAAAAGTCATAAGTGAAGGTGGCTATGACAATATATTTCATCAGACTTTCAAGACACTTCCTGAAGAGAAACTTAAAAAGACATATGCGTGCTATCTGTCGGCGTCGGCTGGTCCTGTTATGGGGGTTTTGTACCTCTCTACTGCTAAACTTGCATTCTGTAGTGATAATCCTCTGTCATACAAAGTCAGGGATCAGACTCAATGGACATATTACAAGGTACTTCATAATCATTAGCATTTGCAACAAAGTTATAGAGACCACTGACAAGATATTGTGCCTTGAATATCTAATCTAATCCCAATAAGATATTGTGTTTGTTGACAATTTTTCTTGTAATTTTATCTCGATCTAGTTTGCTCTTGAAAAAGCCTTTCTATGTTGATGACCAAGGTTGGAACTTTATCTTTTGCGCAGAGGCCTGTATGCTTCATCCATCTGTAGCATCGATATCTTTGGCAAAGAAAAATTCCTATATGATTTATTGAATGCTCTTTCTTCAGTAATGCCTATACGATTCATAGCATACTTTTATTCTTGCGGCCCACAATATAAATGTGACCAGTGATGCTTCAGACCAAATATGTTAATACCCATGTTCCTAGATGTCTTTACCTTGACATTTCCATAGAATGTTATGATCCATTGATATAGTAATGAAATTTATCAATCAAAGAAATTTATATGAAGAATCGATTAAATTGACAATTAACTTGTATTTTAGGTGAAATCAAAAAATTTTCAGTTATCTATCATTGCTGTGCAAGTTTGACTTATTTGTGTGATACTTTTGATGCTTTAGTGTTTTCCATGATCAAGCTACTCCTCTTACCGTCAATTTTATCCTTCACTAATTTACTTTTGCCTTCCAAGAGGCAATTGTCTTGAACACAATGCAGCTACTCAGATATGTTTTGCATTTGGAAGACATCATTGGAGCTTTAAACTTACGCAACATGAGCATTCTCAATAAGATAGCAACGACAATAAAAATGTTACTCTCCTGTCATAGATTCTTTTTTTTTTTTTTGCTCTCTCTTTGGCACAAGATTATGTCATCTCTATGTTTATAATTTCACTAATACTTTTATGCTGGAGGGAGAAATAAGATCACTGTCGGTGGCTGCTCTTCACATAGATAACTCTGATTTTTCTCCTTTTGTCATCTATACAGGTGATAATTCCTCTGCATCAGATCAGATCAGTTAATCCAACAGCGAGCAACGTAAAGCTAGGCGAAAAATACATTCAGGTTGTTTCGATCGACAACCATGAGTTCTGGTTCATGGGCCTTGTGAACTATGATAGTGCTGTCAAAAACCTACAGGAAGCTGTGCAAGATGCCCGCATCTAAGTTACTCTGATCTTTTCTAAACCTGCACTGGCAATTTTCTTGAAGTTCCGCCTTCATCATCAAAAGAATTTGTTCATTGTAAAAAATACCATGTGTTTGATTCCTCATCAAATAATCGTTGTTCTCGTTACTATGATTCTGATCAATTAGTGGTTGTATCATGCTCATTCTTGTCAAAAAAATCATTGTGCTTCAGAGGCAATTTCTGCCGGTTTGTCATCATTTATAACAGCCCGACCACTTCTGATTCAGACATCTAAACTTTTATACTCTGGCGAAGTTATCACATCTAACATTGCATTCTTGATATATAGAAGCCATAATTCATATCATTTGATACATTTATCATTTCAAAATAAGTCACCAAGAAGATCTAATTATGAAGCAAAATCAACATAACTGTGACCTATCTACAAGACTCCTAATATCGGTAGGACAAATATTATTATTCGATAAGATCACCATATTCGATCAATCAGACTAGGCATATCATGTTAATATTTTCTCACCAAGTAATTTAATATATTTTTAATTCACTAAATTCGAATGCCTTATGAGGAGGGGTTTTTTTCTTTTTTAGGACGAGTGTTTTATGTCGTTAGAATAAATTTTGTGATATGGAATATTGATCAAATTAATATTATACCTATTATAATCAAAATCATAGGAAAATTTGTTCCATGGTTAACCCACACCAATGATCAATGTACTAATTGGTCATGTCAGTAGCAAGTTAAATCAGTGAGCTGTTCCATCCATCCCTAAGATGATAGGTGTTACACTCTATAGGCCCCCATGCAGAATATAATTATGAGGTTGAGAAGACAATAACAATTAGGAATGTGATTGACTGGGTTGCTGATTGACACTAATTTTATTCTCTGCTGCATCCTCCTCCAATTTGGTGTCACCACTTGTACAGGCACAATCATGCCAGGTTCTGCCACCAAATAGGTGTGGCCAGATCAACAGGGATTTGGAATCATTACCTGCGGTACAAATTGAACACCTCCCTATCATCCTTCCTGTCAATCACACACATCTTTCATTTCATGCATGATTCATGTACTGGTGCTACTGTAGATCGCTCCATTTATAATGAACAAAAGCATATGGGCACCTCTACCGATTTCAACCTCACCAAATGCATTCTATCAAACATTTATTATGCACAACACTCTATCGAAAGCAGCGGTGGTAAAATCATTGCGTTCTTTTTCCTTCTTTAAGTTTTGTTCATTAAAATTCAATCTCCAAAGATGATAAGAAGCCTATTGAATATGCTACATCAATCTACGCTCTAAGTGTCTACCTAAACACTTTTCCCAAATATGATGACTCGAAAGAAAGAGGGGTAATAAATCGAATCAATTTTGTTGTGTTGGATTGAGGACGAAGATGGATGGCATGAAGATCCGGCTGTGGACCAACCGCATCGAACTACACTCTGGACAACAAACCGATCTCATTTCTGATGAGGGCGATCTGTATCTGCCCAAATTCTACTACCAAACACATGCCTCGCTAGGGTTTGTGACTGCTAGTTTCAGAAGCATCCCTAAGGGCTGTGCAATCCCCGTACACGAAAAAGGCATCGTGTGCTGGAATCACAGGCCAATCATTCCACCATGTGGGCTTGGAAACGATACAAAACCCTAACCCTAGGGCACCATAAACAACAACAGTTCAGAGCGAACAAGAAATCAAAAGAAACAGAGAGGAGGAGCACAAAATTGGGTGGAGGCATACATACATTCCTAGGCACTCTGTGCTGGACAAGGGTACAGGTGTTTCTTGGCATCTGGTGGTGTTCACGGCAGCAGCATATGATTTCGGTAGATGGAATATGTTGACCATCCACAGAGCGAACGAGCGAGCGAGCGAGCGAGCGAGAGAAAGAGACGGTTGGCGTTGTGATCGCATCAGGCTCCTCTTTTCCTTCACTGTCCTGTCACCCCGCTGCACGTGATTTCGTCCCTTCCACGCCCATCCTCTTATCTTAATCCAACATACATATATATGTAAATAAATAAATCGAGATAAATTATTTTCTATTAGATAAAATGATCTTAAGGGACATAATCAAACTACTGTGATCGATCGAGTATTTAATAATTAATTTTAATTTACTAAAAAAAATTGGGGATCGGATGGAGTCAAAATGTTGACTGCAGTTCAACTTTGACCTCATCAAATCCCATTGATCGACTGTTCCACGCCTATGTCTTCAAAGACGTTCGCGGAAAGCTCGACCGAGTGGGGCCGCACCGTCGTATCCGCGAGCGCGTGGTGGGTGGCCGAGTCGGGGCTGGCGGAACGAGTGCGTCAGCCGCACGCATGAAATCACGGCCGCACGTTTGCCCTCATCTCCCTCCTCCCACCTAACCCAATTCAAATTCCTTATAATAATAATAATAATGTACAATACAAAAAGGATAATAATAATTGTGGTCGGAAAAAACGAGAGAAAAGAGAGAGGCGAAACGTACATGCAGACATGATGATCACTGTTCCCCTAATTTCTAGGGTTGATAAGGGGGCCTATGTGCCATGGAGACCAGACTTGGGTACCTCTATATCATTAATAATTTCCCAAAAGCATGTGGGTATATCAACCTCGATTCCCATGATCCCAATAATTATACATCTTTTATGGTCATCATAACTTTAAGAAATATTCTTGTAGCGTTGATTTGGGCACGGATTACTCGAATTATGTTGTGGCTTTTATGTCCCGCGAGAACATCGGGGAACAGGAGGCATCCGCCGAGTCCAACGCGACGCTGATTCAGTCAATTTCGAGGCACCCGAAACTAGTTCGACAAAATTCCCCGGTGGCTGCCTTCGCCTGCCCGCGGAATAAAATACGCCAGAGATTCTCATGCCGACATCAAGCTCGAGGCTCACGTAGAGTCCCGTCATTAGCCTACTAATAATCTATGGAGATTAGAGGTGTTGTTTAGTGTTATATAGCCTTGTGGAATGGCAGAAGCAGCAGAGAAGAAGAAGAAGACAACGTGGACAAGAATTGAAAGATTTGGGTGGCAATTCGCGAGGCGAACCGCCCAGTCCGTCGGGTTTGGTGGGCGTTTTGACCCTGTCAAGTTAGGATGGCTCGCTTGGCGCGTCATGGGTGACATCGGCTGTGTTGGTTCCGGGGCGAGTCCGCGGGTAGGTGAGACCACGGGGCGAGGAGGCGAAAGGCGGGTCCAGCATGGGGCCCATTAAGCGAGGCAGGTAGGCGAATAGGGGAGAGGGTACGTTTCCGACCAACCCACGTGACAAAAGCTGTGCCCTTTGGACGGGTGGGAATCACGCGGGATCCAATACGTCTTGCAATAAAAATCTGCCGCGTGTCACTACGAAGCTCGATCCTGTTCGAGACGGGGACAGCCGATCCCGTGATTTCGAATCGGAGGCTGGAGTTAGTAGTACTCGGCAGAGACAAGGGAGTTGGCTTGGCTGTGGGGAGGCCGCCACGAGCCACCGAATCACATAGGGGTTGGAGGAAGCCATAGGTTCGACAGGGAAAGAAACAAAACCCCCCACCCCCCCCCCCCCTCCCCTCCGTCCTCCAGTGTCCAAACCTAATAGCTTTTCCTTAGGGATGATAATGACAAAACATGGTAGCTCTTGTTCTTGGTGCATCAAGCTCTCGTCCCACCCAAGGGTGGGGAGTCGTGGCCTCAACCTGCTGCATGAGCTTCGCATGAGAATCCAGATCTGCTGCACCCAGCAATCGACAAAACCATTAATCATCTTCATCACATCCGCAAAAGATTTGTTCCGGATGCATAATCTTACCCCTCGCATGCTGAAAATGAAACAATGGGGTCGGCCTTCGTCTTCTCATCTCAGCAGCTGCAGCAGGAGGAGGAGTACACGCCTCATCGGCGGACGACGACGAAGGCGGCGGCGGCGGCGGCCCTCAGATCATGATCCGACAGCAGATCCTACACGATCCGCCCGCGATTCTGTATGGCGACATCTTGTACTTGTCCGGGGGATTATAAATCCTTGGCGGTCAGCTAATCCGACCGCGGCGAGAATAATCGGCAGGGGCGGGACCACCGACAGTGTGCGTCGTCGACATCGGCAACTCCACAGTGGGTTGATTACAATCTTGTCCGGGGCTGCAAATCGAGTAGGCGCAGGGCATCAGGTGACGACGACGCCTACTGGCCATTACAAAACTCATCCTCAATTCTGCTCCTCTTCCCCGGTAGGCTTTGTAGGGAGAGCAACGACAGAGCTGATGCAGTGTCATCGATCTTCCATGGAATCGCGTGAACAGGGGGGATTATCCATGGCCCGAGCTCGTCTTCTCCCCCTCCCTTTAATTAAGTGGCATGCACAGGTTGTACTTGTACTAATCCTGGTTTTAGCTGGCACCGTGGTGGGTTTTGTCCAATGTCAGGTTGGTTTCTAGTGAAACCACTGCTGTGCCGCTGATTGCACCGGCTCCAGTAATACTGTTCTCGGAAATCAGAGATGCCAGCATCGTCATTGTTGTGAGCTGAACCAGAAGAAAGCAGATGTCGATCGATTAGAAGATTATATGTAAAACATGTAACAAGCCAATATGCATGATTGAGAATGAGAGTTAGAGATAACACTCGAGGAGGAAGGACAAGTGAGAGAGGAGTTGTACCGGCTCAAGCTAGGAGGTAGAGAGAAGCTCACATGAGCTCTAAATCCTACTGACCTCGCATCACTCTCACTGCAGACCAGCGGAATCTCTGACCCTGTTCAATTCTTTCACCCTCACCATCTCAGCATCTCATTTGTGATCTCACCAGGACCCTTTTAACCCTTCCTCCCTGTTCTGGATCTACCAGCAGATGAAACAAAACCACTGACTCACGGTGGCCCTTTGAGTTTTCTTTCTCCTATCCATCCATCAACCAGAAAATAAAAAAGGGATGGGGGGGGGATGAGAGATGAGAGAAAACATGTACTTCCCCTCTTCTGCTTCTCACGTGGTAAGTTCAGAATTATATATGTTTTCTTCTTACTTACCTTTGGGCCTTTAAAACCCCACCCTTTCCCTCCTCCTCCTCCTCCTCCCACCGAGACACAGATGTGCAGTGCCTGTGTGTAAACGAATCTGTGAGAGAGATGGCACTAGAAGCTGTGGTTTTCCCTCAAGACCTCTTCAACTATGCTTTCAAGGAGTGGTGCGCCAACACCGGAAGTGGAGGAGGAGCATGGGAGGAGAAAAGTATGGTGTTAGAATGTGAGATGGCCGGAGGTGGAGGTGGAGGTGGGACCTGGGACCCAACCTGCTCCTCCTTGGCACGGAATCTCCAGGATTGGAATGTGAATTCCTCGACGCCGACAGCAGCCGGTGCGCCCGCCGGGGCGGGGGGCCGGAGAAAGAGGCGGCGTACGAAGAGCATCAAGAACAAAGAGGAGGTGGAGAGCCAGAGGATGACCCACATTGCCGTGGAGCGCAACCGCCGGCGACAAATGAATGAATACCTCGCTGTGCTCCGCTCTCTGATGCCGGCTTCCTATGTCCAAAGGGTAATCCATTCACATCTTCCGCACCGTCACTAATGCATCCAATCTCATCAAGACCATTCACTGGTTGTTGAATGATAGGGTGATCAAGCATCGATCGTCGCCGGCGCGATCAACTATGTCAAAGAACTTGAGCAGCTCCTTCAATCACTGGAAGTCCAGAAACGGGTCAAGCAACAAGCGGATGCAGCCGGCGTTGCCGCCGCCTTTGCCGACTTCTTCAGCTTCCCCCAGTACTCCTCTTACTCACCCAGTGGCGGCACCACCGCCGGAGACGGTAGTGGCATAATTGACCATGATAGTATCTTCCGAAACACCGAGGAGATCGAAGACGACGAAGCAGCCGCCGCAAACATCGAGGTGACGATGGTGGACAGCCACGCAAACCTCAAAGTGCTCACGAGGCGGCGGCCGAAGCAGCTGCTCAAGCTGGTGGCCGGGCTGCAGAGCTCGCGGCTCCTGCCGCTGCACCTCAACGTCACCTCCGTCGACCAGATGGCCATGTACTCCTTCAGTCTCAAGGTACGCCGGACTCCACCTCCTTCCTCCTCGCCGGACCATTTGCCAGCCTGATGGAGTTTGTGTGCTCATCTCTGCGACGCCTGGCTTTGATCCGCAGGTGGAAGATGACCGTCACCACACGTCGGTGGACGAGATTGCAGCAACAGTGCATCAAATGTTAGGCAGGATTCAGGAGGAGGCAAAACTGTAGAATCTCTGTTGTCTTCTTGTAGCATGGAAAAGGGTGTTGATTGCATGAAATAATCTGGCCTTGTGATGTGCAGCAGCAGAAACTCCTGTTCACCATGAGATCTGCTATTGATGATAGCCTGAGTATGCTCTCTGCTTGGCCAAAAAAATATCTTCGACAGTCTCACTGAGAACACCCAACACAACGAGAACTCGGTCAAAGGCTGTGAAACAGAGGATCTTTGCATCTGAACATAAGCTTTTAGAATTTTCCTTGGATTGTTTTTCCTTCATTGTATCTGCTTTTGATTTCTGAGCTGCCACCAAAACCACATCAGATCCAATTATCTACCTTATTGGTTAATTTTTCTAGCTACATAGATTCACATAAAATCCTACGAAACAAATTAACTTAGGTACTCAACCAGAATGTTAGAATGATCTTAGCAACTATATTACAACACAACACTAGAGGAATCTTTCAAGAGCTCGAAAGTCTCTCTATGTGCTGGAAGCATATGGAGAAGATGGATGGCCATAAATTACATAACCAAAGACAGCTACATGCTTCAGTGGCATTCAGAAGGCGGAGAAAAGAAGATACATAGTTTTAGACAAGTTTCAGAAAGATGATAGTACCAATTTCAGCAGTCTCTGGTCATGTGGATTTTTCCTTTCTTTTGTTTGATGCAAGGACGATCGCAAAGGGGCTGAAGCAATGATTCAAAGGTGAAGAAACCTACAAGACATTTCACATCATGTAAGTGTTTAAAGCTATAAAAGAGTACTGCAACATAATATTTGCCCAAGTATTTACTGATGGGGAGAGAGAGAGAGAGAGATAGAGAAAAGGAGGAACAAGGAGTCATTTCATGACTGATTTGGCTTCCGATGGATGTTTGAGCTGACCATGTTGGCAAATGGCCTCACAATTGTTCACATGTTGCTGATGTGCATACTGTCTGATTCTGTTCCCTGGCACACTTCATAATACTGGAGATCCAACGGAGGCCGAGGCAATCCTAATCGCTGTCCAAGCCACAAGCAAGAACAGCTGCTTGTCAGCTGATCGAACATGGAAAGGTTTGGTGCCTCTCCATTGTGTCAGCAAGAACCTAATAGTACTGTACCAACTCTAGTTGCGCTGTGTAGGGAATATAACTGTCATGCTCAACTGATAAAAATTGCATCTCCTCTACTTCATAGCATGCATGATGACATGCAAATCCAGTGATTCAAATACCTGTCACTTTAGCTCTTTCTGCAAAGATGTTGTTGCAGCTAAGTCGAAACTTTGACAACCAAATCTCATGAATCCTTTTTGAGATTCTAAAACTGATTAGTAGAACTTCAAATTTTAACTAGCTACATGAAAACAAGTGACTAGCAAAAATATTTCCTAAAAAGTGCATGGATTCTAAACCAAGAAGACTAGAATGTATGAGAATACTAGTGTAAAGTCATCTAAATAACCAGAGTGTAAATATATTTTCAGCATGGTATATAATTACCAGAAAAATACAAGAACAAGTACCTCAGGATCATCTTAGTCAAGAGACGAGATTGTGCACAGAACAATCAATACATAGCTACTTTTTGATACATCTGAACAACCAATATATATTCAATACAAAGTTACACTAAGCGAAGCTGAAGATTGAAAAGAGCAAAACTGAGTTCATCTCTTGGTTGGTGGTCTACTAAGTGGGAACTTACAAGCTTCAACAATGTAACTTTTCAAGAAGCAACAACATGAGCCACTCACAAGAACAGCAGGCAGATTATCTTTTTAAGATGTTACCAGAAAAACACAAGGACTGCATCATGTAACAAGATGCACCTTGGCTGAAATTTCAAGCTACTTTAATATGCCAGCTTCAAAAACACAAGGACTGCATCGTGTATCACTAAAGTGAAGAACCCATATAAAATTCAGAACAGCCACATGCTCTTTGAGTTGGCATAAAGAAAAGATAAAGCCACTCCGTATTGGTGTTATGTAGTCAAGGTTTCAAAACCAATCACATCTGTCATAAGTAAAATGATCTGAAGCCTACATGCATAGAACAGCATCAACGGCCTTTATATATGCATGGTTAAAAAAACTGAGGTACAAGTATGATTTCACCATCGAATGTGAAATAACTTAATAAAGACAGAGTGAATCTAGACATCCAACTCGCTGAAGATGGAGAGGTACAATAGGCGTCCTGAAAAGGCGGCAGATAGTCACCCACCGGCCTGACCTGGTGGCCCCCCCTGGGCGGTAGAAAACAAAGAGGTGGCTGAACAATGTTAATTGATCCATGCATTCCCCTAGTTTAGATCAAACCAAAACAACTTGAATGGCAACAGGATTCAGTGGAGGAAACCAACAAAGTTATAGGAGGAGAAAGTCAAGCCTGATTGAGATATAGGATATAATCAAATATGGTAATGGGCCTGCTCAATCGGTAGTTGAAGAGCATTATTAGGACCTGTCATTAAAAGAATCGATACTTCAATCATGCTTTCGAGCTGTACTGGCACCAGAATTTGGGTCCTGAGAATTGTAGTCAGAACTGCATTTTCTTGTCCCACACATAGCCCTCTTTCAACAATTTTATCTCACTGACCTAATAAAATATCTTTACGGTTGGATATAAATTTATGTCCATAAGGCTCCTAAGAATATGTAACTGCTTTTATTGTGAGGAACGAACATACCTGGACAAACAATAAAACAAGGAATTCTTGGGAACCTTACAAGATTAAGAAGCCTCAAAACATCTCACTGACCTAATAAAATATCTTTACGGTTGGAAATAAATTTATGTGCATAAGGCTCCTAAGAGTATGCAAGTGCTTTTATTGTGAGGAACAAACATACCTGGACAAACAATAAGACAAGGAATTATTGGGAATCTTACAAGATTAAGAAGCCTCAAAACACTATACGCTTGTTATCCAAGGGTACTGAATGTTGCTGATGCAGAAAGATGATCAATAAACAACACAGCATCATCTAAGACTGGACAGGACATAAAATTATTTTGGAGAAACTTTATAAAAGCTTGAAGAATCTGAACCAGATACGAAATGGCCAAGTCAAACCTTCCAAAAGGACATAACTGGATGTCAATATGCAACATGTTTTCTGGTACCTTCCAATTAGATGAATATGGTTTTAAATTTTGATTTGGTTTGATCAGCAAAGCATCTTCAACAAAACTCAGCAATATAACGCCATCTTGAAGACCAGGTAAATTCTAAGTTTACATCGTCGTATAAAGAGAAAAAGGCACTGGTTATTCTATCAGATGCAGTATTCAAGGAGCTAACGCCCATAGAAACCTACTTGGAAAAGTTAGCCTACTTCTTCCACAATCAGCATCAGAAGCAAACAGTTACAAGCCACATAATCAATTATACTGAACCTTAAGGGTATTATAGGGTTGATCTCCATAATCCAGAAGTGGGAGAAAAAAAAAGATAAGAAAACCTACATCGTCGTATAAAGAGAAAAAGGCACTGGTTGTTCTATCCGATGCAGTGTTCAAGGAGCTAACGCCCGTAGAAACCTACTTGGAAAAGTTAGCCTACTTCTTCCACAATCAACATCAGGAGCAAACAGTTACAAGCCACATAATCAATTATACTGAACCTTAAGGGTATTATAGGGTTGATCTCCATAATCCAGAAGTGGGAAAAAAAAAAAAGATAAAAATTTCTTCATGATCATGAATGAGAACTTGATAAAGAAGTGGTAATATAAACATATTTCTCCAAAGTCCAAACTGAGTTCTTGGTAGCTTAATGCAACAATTTTATTATCCTTCCAAAGGCAAGAGAGGATACGTTCCTCTACTTGCTTTCAATTTATAAAATCATTAGGAGATCAAATTACCATGAATCTCAACTTGAATAGATTTTCTAGATTCAACTATTATGATAGAGGGTCAAGCTTGCCAAAAATAATACTTATACAACTGAGGGACCAAGTACATATTTCATGAAGTATACACTACCTTATTTTTCATGCAGCTTGCATTTTGATTGCAGAATGCAGGCAATGATGCTTAGATGCATGAATGTGACCTAAATGTATCCAGGGCAAGGCAATTTACAATTCCCCGCTAGGGAGACCAAGCAGATCAATGGAAATGATCCAATATATCTGCATCAAATGGCTCACTAACCATGAAGCCTTTGTGCAAATGGCTCTGTTTCTCATTCTAAGAATAATGACATCCTTATTCCAATATCTTTCATTATGTACTTCACAATATGGTACCCTATACTTGATTTATGAACATTGTTACTTACACCAAATAGCAACATATTTTATTGAAGTCCATAGCAACATAGTTAATTTATGGAAATTCTGGTAAAGGGTCAACTTATAATAACTTTTATAATTTGACAAGAACTCCTCAAATTTTCACATATTATAGCTACTCCTGTGACACAAGTTGTTTCTTGAACATATCTCAAGGATGGAAACTATAGATTTAAGTTTTGGTTTGTGCCAATTTTATTGTATATTGTCGGCATTGTAAAGAACTGACTCCTGAGAGTGTACATATATTAATTTAACTTGCTATGGAACCTGTGTCAGTCAACACATTATGTTGGCACATCATCAACATGAACGGTGATGTGAATTTTAATATTAAAAACTAAAATAGAATCACAAATGATAAATAACTAAACTATCTGCTGGTACTTCAAAGATATTTACACTGTAAGAATACAGAGTATTTAGTCAATTATGAAAGTGACTTCAACAAGTACTAATTTTGCCATCAACAACCAGACATCAACATCAGTGTTAAACCATATTCTATTGCATTAACACAACCAATTATGCAAAAGTAAAACTAGTAAATCGCGATCACTAGAAAAAACTTTTCTCCGGGTCAATGTAACAGATAAACGTAGCTTTACTCTCAAGGAAACATTATGCATTATGACAATCAAAGTGTATCCTACACAGATTCCAAATATATAAAAATTTAAAATAAATGGTCAGCTTATAGTGAGTGCAGTGAATGAAAGGAATGCAGATGACTATGTACATGAAAATAATCAGCAACTTAGTCAACCAAAATATTACTACACCTAAAAGACAAGCAACATCTGCATTTAAACTTGACCTGCCACACATTTCAACAGCATTAAGTATATACTACATTATTTTGTATATGTGATATTCTACAGTCTACATTAATCTATCATTTCATCCCGAGGATCATTCATATATAAATCTTATCTCTCATGTTTCTTTAATATATAA